AGACAAGAAGTAGACACAAATTCTCGATCTGAAAGTTTTACCATAGTCTTTTGCTTCCTTCCTCCGTATAAGCATCGGAACCTGCTTTTCTGAGCAGATAATTGTGGCCAACGGCAGCGCGGTGTACGGGACACCACACACGCAGTCATACGGCACACCGGCATCTTTGGCTGCTTGAAAGAGAAGATCTGCAACCTGAAAAAGAAACCCAAACGCTCCTTTAAGGAATCAGACTGGTGTGACCGTGATCAAAGGAACGCACTGCCGAGAAGAGCAACGCAAACGCATGAGAAACTCTTCCCTCCACAGGACCAGGGGCAGCCGCTGTCCCCGCAGCGAGCGGACAGACAACGTCCGCACCCAGCGGGCCCGGGCCTGGGCCCCGTGCCTCCCGCCTTCCCTCAGCTAAACGAGCCTGTCAGCCCCGCCAGAGGCGGGCACCTGCCGGAGGAGGCGCGGGTGCGACACGAGCCCGCGCAGGTCGATGTACACGGGGGAGGCGCGGCCGCTCTTCAGCACGAAGTCACCGAACCGCAGGGAGCCCGCCTCGCGCAGCGCCCCCGCCACGCGTCCCGCCGCCGACATCCCGCTGCGCGCAGGGAGATGACGGAAGCGGGGAAACGGGAAGAGAGAACTGCGCGCATGCGCAGGAGGGCAGCGCGGGGCTCTTCCCCGCCGGGCCCGGCCTGCCGTACCGTACCGCGCCACAGAGCCCACCCCGCCCGGCAGGGGGCGCCGCTCCCCCTCGGTACTCGGCGTCCGTGCAGGAGGCGCGCTCGGGGGGTGCCGGTCCCGGGCGGCAGCAGCGCTTCCCACTGGGAAGCGGAAACGGCTGCCGCGGGGTGGGTTTGATGTGAGCCGGGGGTTTCGCTGTCCCGCGGTGTGAGTGCCCAGACGGCAGCGTGGTTCCCGGGTTGGTGCCCGCAAGGCTAAGGGCTGCGTGGAGCAAGAGTCCTCGCTCTAGTGTCCCGAGATCCCTCTGAAACAGGTGAGCTGTACAAAGTGGTCGGGAAGCTCCGAGTCCCCGAGGCCTCCGACAGGTTGCCATATGTGTGAAATGAGACTGACCCGGTCTTCTCTGAACAACTGTATTTAATCAAAAAAGCCCAGAAACTGAATTATTAGTATACTCTATTTATAGGAATGCAAGGACAGAAGATGTACAGCTGGAAACTACATCTGTAGGTGGTCATACATACTGCAGTATAGTAACAACAAGGGGGGACAGCAGGTTCTCACAACAGTACACGAGTGATTAGACTTACAAAGGAAATATTTACAAACTTACCTTTACAAAACAACATTGTGTGCATACAAAATGAAATCCGCGATAAAACTGAAAATACATTTAAGGCAGACCAGCAATACACTGAAATAATTAAGGCTGTGGAATTACTTTGCACCTTGAAAATGCTGAGCTGTTAGCCATACTGTTCCTTTTTTTCTCCTTCGGTTGATTGTTGCAAAGATTGAAAAGCATCAGTATATTCCAGCTGCTTGCTCTTATCTCTGTAACTCTGAGATTTAATTTGTGTATTATTTATTTTTTGCACTTTCTATTGCATTTGCTTTCTAAAAGTTATCAAATATAGTCAAATTGGCCACAGTGGCAGAGCAACGCTGAACAGTTTGGTAGAAAGAGAAGTAAAAGCACCGGCATCAGAATTTGGGCATGAAGGTGAAATATGGCTTGTGTAGAGATGTTTTTTTCACGAGCTTTGTAATAAAGACTACAGTTACAGCGAACATTCAGAATCCTGACACTATGGTAACACTCACCACTATAAAGATCCCAGAACAAGAATTCATCACTTGATGGCAGTGTGCAGTCAGCCTAGTAAAATGGGATTTGATTTTGTTTCCTTGGGAAAGCACCATTTTCTTATGGGACATGAAAGAATGAGCTGGAAAATAAACCCATGCCCTATGTTAGAGGAGAGACTACCTCTGCAATGAAAGGAACAGAAACAAAACTGGGTGGTTATCCCCTGTGTGTGTTGATTATCTGGTAGACCTTTGTATACACAGACTAGCCTTTACATCTGTCTCTGAAGTTTATATTATCCCAGGTCACTTGATGCAGTCCCCTCATTGCAAGGGTATTAAAGGATGGTTATATATAGTCAGGTCATAATGTGTGGGTCTGCATTTAGCCTTTAGTCATGGTATTCATAACAAAGGCATAATAGCATTGTCAGAAATGCTATGAACTCCAGTGAAGCCACAGCACTTGTATGGGTCAGTTGAGGGCACAGACTTTGTCTCGGCATTAATGTAGTTTAAAAGTGAAACACTTTTACAGATTAATGTTACCAGGAAAAAAAAAAATAAAAAGAGTTAATTTAAAATAAAAGGGCAGCAAGACTAAACAAAACTTGCAGGTACAAGTAGGAAGAGAGAAATTTGATAAATTTTACATCCTGGATTGCTTTAAAATACTAAAGTGTAAAACCCTGGACTGGCTGTGTATCATCCCTGTAGTAACATGCGTAGGGGGGCTGGCAGCTTGGTGGGGATCTCCTACATGGCAGCAAGTGCTTCAGACACCTGCGTTATGTGGGCAATCAGATTTCCTGTTTGATGGCCAAGAGTGAAACGGCCTGGCCTGCCTGCTCCAAGTGGAGCAGAAAGAGGCGAATTAGTTACTCATCGCCACATATGTTTATTAAATGTAGCCATCTTAAATAATGAGTGCTGCACATCACCATGCCCTCCATGTGCTGTTTCACTGGTGCCCAGCGCCAGGGACACTGTGAACAAGTGTACTTTGATGTCGGTGCTGGGGAAGAGCACCGTGAAGATGTCTGAAGGTGGTGGCGGTGTGTAAAGTGCCAGTCTGCACCGAACTTGAGGTGCTCTGTTGGTAGTATTACGGCTGGTCATTCTAGCTGGTCTGAAGCTTCTGCAGAAGCTAGAGGTGCAGCTACCATCATACCTTCACTTGGTGGTCTTGGAACACTCTGGGTGGTAAAGCTGAAGGTGGAAATCTTCCCCTCAGACACAGCTGCTCTTCTGGGGGGTTTATAAAGGCCCAAGAGAGCTTTATGAGAAACTGTTTCACTGTGTTTGTTACAGAAAGTATTTCATGCACAAAACCCCCAGTAGTTGGAGAGTGCTGCAAAGGGGGATGGCTCCTGTGCTTCTCACTTACTGGGCTTACTCTAGGCCTACTTCTGTAATCTCTCTATTAAAACAGAGTTGCAGTTTACAGCACAGTTACAGGACCTGCTGGATTGGCAGAGAGGCCACACACGTCTCTTAAGGTCTGAAAAAGACCTCAAGCGAGCATGGTGTACTTCCTCTGTACAGCAGCACTTCATTTCAACTTGCTATTATTCAAGCAAATGAAATCTTTGAGATAAAATGCAAAAAGGGTTGATAACCACAAATGTATTTCAAGTACTAACATTTTCAGATTTTCCTGAATGTGCTGTAGGAAGAGCAATGCTCAGGAAGAGTTCTCTAACATGAATATGGAAGAAGCAGAACCATAAAGGAAATCATTCAAAATCTTCAGAGTTCAACACCTCCAGCTCTCTCCCTTGATGAGGAATCTCTTTTTTGAATCTGAGCACATGTATCCTCTTTAAGCCTTTAGGGGATTTTTTCTGTTACTTGATAGCAATGAGAGGCTTAAATACTCCCTTAAACAATCCAGCTTTCCCACCCACCCCCATGTGCGTCCAAAGTGTCTGCTGTTGCAGTTTGAGATGAGAATGCAGGAAGTAGGAAAATAGAATGCTAATAACTCCAGATTTCACGTGATACATGAGAATTTCTTTGTATTAATGCCAAGCGGAAAGCCTGTGGCTTCAACTGTACCCACAGGTCTAATAAAAGCTGTGGGTTTTCTGAACCACACTTCCATAAACATTTTCTTAAGAGCAGCACAATCACAGCACAAAGATCCAGCTTTGACAAATTGGAAGAAGTATAAACAGTCCTGAAGTGATAAAGTACCTGAGGCTAATGCTAATTAAAGACACCCCTTGATGACTTCTGTCTGAAGAAGTTTTGGTTGCTAAGAAATTGCATACTTCACACTCTTGCTCAGGATGAGAGTCTGGTCTTTGTCTAAGAGGTGCTGCTGGATTGCTTAGAACAATAGCTGCTGTGCTACAGAGGGGGACTGAGATAGATTCTACCTCAAGCAGAAGATTTAGCCTTCCATGAACACCATCTCTTTCAAGCTTTTCCCAAACTTACCCCTGTATTAGATCTCTCTCCATGAGTCACATGGCCTTGCACACTGCTTCTGACTCTGCTTGGGCACCCAGACTCACCTTTCTAACTGTAGCTCCCTGAACTCAACGTCTGTTCTTGTATGGCATGCAGGTGGTGCTGAATGTTTGTTTTTTAATGTGCCTCCTTTCTTCTCCACTACTAAAATATTACCACTCCAGCACACTGATGGAGCAAGCCAAAGAGAAGGGCTAGGTCTCCTGCCTGCCATGAAGTGGGTCAAAACATATGGGCTAGCAGAGCCCTGAGAATTTAACAGTAACTGCAGAGTATCTCTATGACCTGCTGGCAGAGACAGCTTTTGCTCCTAGAGATACATTACTGTAGGTTCACAGTTGAGTTACTTGGATGGTAAATTAAATTTGACTCTTGCTCTTACAAGAGAGTCGAAACTGAGTACACATGGTCAGATCGAGCCCTTTTCCTTAAGAAAACCTTTGGTAACAACTGACATTTCCCATTACAGGCACAGAAACAGCACTCAGCACTGAGACAAAGTCCTTGCATGCCAGGGGAAAAAACCTAACCTCTTTGATCGTCACCCTACAAGGTGATAGAGTTTATGGCAGCCAGATGGGGAAGTCCCGGCCACGGAGGTGTTTTCTCTCCCAGCCCACTGCTAGAGAGGAAGATTTGGCCAGCCTACGAACTGCTGATTTGTCACTACACACTCCCTTGCCTTGGTTGTACTTAAGGCTGCCTCCATCACTGTAACATCAATGTGATGATGTTGCAACTTGGCTTGCAAGAGAGAAATGTTTTAATTGTGAATATTTTTTATTTTATGACAAATTAGGCTTTGGATATAAAAATATCCTCACAAATGCTTTGGTGATGAGGTGCTAATGGTGGCTGAGAGATATTTACAAGTTTGGAAATGAAACAAATGACATACTTTAAACACTGAAAACTATTTTCAAGCTGTAAGCACAAGGCTGAACTCACCACTCCTACTGCACTCTGAAAGGCTTAGATGGACTTTGGGCCAAGCAATTCTGAATCTAGAAATGGAACAGGATCCTTTATATATATATATATATTTATATATATGATACAATATATGTATACTGAAAACCTGTGATAGAAAAAATTGTCTTCATCATCATCATCTAGTTTACAGATACTGCAAAAATTGGTCACAGCCTTTTCTCAATGCACAGGTTTTGCAAAAAATTTCTGTACAGTGTGTATAAAATGCATTTAAAAAAACCCATCATGGTCCCTTTGTGCTTAGTCAAAACCAGCCGTATATTCCAATGAATTCCTTGCCTTAATCATAGCTCCAAAAGGATGTTGACTTGACACAGCAGAAAGCCCAAGGATTAACGGGGGATTTTGGTCTGAGCACTACAATGCAACAAGAGCGCATCTAAGCCATGCCACCACAGAAGCTGATCCAGCAGTGACTAGTGCCTGATCTTGCATGTCCTATGCAGGCAAAGCCCCCACTGAAATCATGGCAGACCCAGGCATATGGGGCATGCAGAATCTGTCTGTTAACCTGGAGCAGGCTTGCAATGATTTCAGCAAAAACGACTTCAGTCCAGTTCTACAGAACATGCTAAGGTCAGCCTAGTCTCACTCCCCCAACTATCCTACTCCTAGTCTCTTGTACATTTTGAGTTCCATTTGCAAGATCAAGAGGGTTTCATGTAAGGCTGCCTCACGAAGATTAAGGCAACTGCAGTTTTGGCTTGCGTCTCCAGTTGGTGTTTGTTTCCCACAGTTCTTTTTTGGTGGGGGATGCAACAATACCAGGTGCTCCAGAAGGAGCCCCTCAAGGGGAGGGAGCAGGCACCTGCCACTGTTACCCCCTTTGCTCTGGTCCTGAGGAACTGGGCAGATTCTGCCACCTCCACAATGATTTGTACCCTGCAGTTAGGGAAGCCACATGAAACGCAAATGCTGAATTTGGGACTATGTACAGACAGATCTGCTTTGTGCCTGCTTGCTCACTGCATCTCGCCTCAGGACCAGCAGTGTAGGACCCCAGGCATGTAGGCATTATGTGCCTGGGCTCATCCTGCTCATCAAGAAACTCTTGACGCTGGGGACCGGGTGCACGTCATACTGATGCTTGCGGCGTTCGATGAAGGAAGCCAAGCGGGAGGTATCCAGTGGGATCTTGGAATAGCTGCCATTGTGTGATTGCAGCCAGGGGTGCTGCAAGCAAGTGGCTGCTGTTGGCCTTCTCCTGAAGTCTTCCTGGAGGATAACATTGATGAAATCCCTGGCGGCATGACTCACATTGGAGAAGTACTCCAGCGGGAAGCTGAAATCTACTCTGCACACATTGATGCAAGTCTCCTCTTTGCTTTCATCCAGGAATGGAGAGACGCCACTTAACATAACGTAGGTGAGGACTCCAATGCTCCAGATATCCGTGCTTAGAGAGACAGGAAGGCCTTGGATAACTTCAGGAGCTGCAAACTCCGGGTTTCCAAGGAGGTGGTGTATATGGTAATGACCTGTGATCTGAACTGCATCTTCCAAATCAATGATCTTGACACGAGGTACCGGGATTCTTAAATCAATGAGCAGATTTTCTGGCTGTTGAAAAAACAATAATGAAAACTTAATTACATTGTATTTTTGCAAATAAAATATGTAGATTTTATTTAGGTTTAATAGCCAATCAAAACTTCCATTTAGTCAGATGTGCAAGATACAGATGAAGAGAGTGAATGACAAGGAACCAGCTCAGCTGTTGCTTACACTGCTGTAAGTTCAGATCAGTGCTGAAGCTGCAATGACAACATCCTCTTTTGCATTAGGATTCACACTGGGATTCTGCACTTTCTCCCAAATACTCACAGTTTCTTTTCCTAAACTAATATCTACAGATGAGAAGCACTGAAAGATTTTTAAATTTTTATATGACCTCTATATCTGTGATCAGTTTATTTCATTTCTTTATATGGCAAGCGGCTACATAAATTTACGTAACTTGTAGCTGAAATGCTCTTCATGAAGTAAATACTACCAGGTATCCTGGGAGGGACTCTGGTATGTGCCATTACTGTTTCTGACAGTTAACATTCCAGTGTTCCCTTTTATAAGGGAACCAGCACACAGTCATGGCTTCCAAGCCAAACTGCAATTGTATTTCATCCCCGTTGGTTTTCCCTCTCTTTTATCAACTCTTTCAGTATTTAAGATCTCCCTCCCTTTCTGTCGGACATACTGAGCACTGCCTACACACTCTGCTCTGGGAACTTAATGTGGGTTTTGCTTCTTTTGATGATTTCTGAATTTATGTCTTGCACCCTCTCTGGACTCACTTTTCTGTCTGATAGCCCCTAATCCTCATGAATATTTTACTGCTGCCTCATGGGTTTCTATATAAAGCAAAGTTCACTGCACTGCTGTTCAAAACTCTCTGCTTGCTCTTCTCTTGCACAGTCTGCATTGACAAAATCAACATGTTCTTGAGCAGGATCCTGGTACAACACAGTCCATGGCTAGGTCTGCTGTCACTACCAATGCATCTCCTGCTTAGCAACAGAAGGTGTTTTATTTAGCATCCTTCATTTGGGAGAACTGTAAATAGGTCACAGAATATTTGCTTCCCACCTTGTTTCTGGGAAGTATCTTATGATCAAACAGAGAATTCAGTGCAGTTTCTTATCTCCAAGTGATACCTACTTTTTTGACAGGTCCTATAAATACAGCAGAAAATACAAACAATCTTGCTAAAAGAAACCAGGATGATTTAGCCTTCTGGGACTAGTGCTTACATAAGGTACTGCACAAAGGAATCTTTTTTTTGGTAGTGGTAGTAGGCAGCGGAAGAATGAAAGCATCATTTCATCTGACATGCCTGGGGGTTGGAGAGTTGAGAAGAGACCTCCTTGTAGCTGGATTGTCCACCATACAAGAAAGTTAGATTCATCTCTCATTCTCTATTTTTAATTGACATTTAAATCTGAAACAAAATTATGGATAATCTGATATCCCTGGCAACTGGAATCAGTGTTGGAGATCACAAAACTCAAAACATTTGATCATAACTTCAGTCACTAGTTCTCTGTCATCTAAGATAATTTTGATATTGCCGAGGACAGCAGTACGATGCTGAATCCAGGACAGTACAGTACCTCCCTTTGCTAAAAAAAAGTTGGTACAAGCTGTGCTAATATAACTGAGCATGATGTTGGAGAATGCCTGAATTTCTTCACAATGCAGCTTGTTCTTCTGATCTTCTCCCTGAGTGTATTTCCCACCCAGTTCCCCTCTCAGGCTCTGCAGCATAATGCAGCATGCTGTTTTCCTTTGTCCCTGACAGTGCCCCCCACCTCCCACTCCCCTGCACTCTCCTCTCCCTCTGCTTTGGTCTCTCCAGGGCGCTGCTTCAGATGCTCCTTTTGGCCTGCCCTTTGCTGCATGGGCACAAGCCAGCTCTGCTCAGGAAGCCTGGTAGCTAAGTTGGTACAGGTTTGAGCCCAAATAAATACCCCATGTATTTATCTTGTAATTCCCCTTCAGTCAGGTGCTAGTGACATCTTACTCTTGCCTCAGACATCCTCCCACTCCTTCATTAAATCCAGAAAATCCTTCAGAACAAACCAGTGAATCAAGGAAACAGGTGCATTTCTTGTATGAAGGAACACAAAGACCTTGCACTGTAGGTCAGCAAGTCCCTTCTGTAGTCAATAGGTCTGAAAGGTAGTGCTTCTCCATTTAGTGATCATCTCTTTAGGGTACAGACTGCACCTCTTCCCTGTCTGAGCAGCTGGAAGCTCCCTGTACCAGGGCAATGAATAACAGCAGCATTCTCTTTTCTTCTTACCTTTATGTCTAAATGAGCCACTCTGCAATTGTGAAGATACTGCAGGGCTTCCATTGTGTCTCTTATGTAGAAAGCAACCTTTTCCTCCATAAGTTCATCATGGTTCATTAGATAATCTAAGAGACGCCCATCATCCATCCTGTAAACAAATCAAACCCTGCACATGAAAGATCACATGGTATCTCTAGGAACAGTTAATATTTAAAAACAAAATTGCAATGGAAACTTCATGACCTAAAAATGGAGGAAATTAAAATGCAAGATCTGAGGAGTATTTAATGATATCTCAAGATACTGCAGGCCATGGAAGTGGTAGAATGATTAATTCTCAATTGTTATCTCTGGTCCTTGAAAAATTTAGCAACAGTCTCAAACATTTGCTTAAGGATGGATTCAATAGACAGAGGCAATTCCTTTGAAAACAGATCCTCTTAATTATTTGTATTCATCTATTTATTTATAGAGCTGGTTGCATAATGCAGAAAAAAAATCATTGACCTTTTCAGCTGGTAATATGTTCTGTGGGAAAACTAACCCCATAAAAGTTTTCCACCTAGCTTTATTTATCTGCATAAATAAACAATCAAATAGCTCAAATATATTTTGTTGGATATACTGTAACACAGAAGCATTCTGGATTTTGGTTGCTATTTTTCCTTATAGGGGCAAGCATGGTTGCTGCACAGACCTTTTCACCAAAAGGCTTCACAATGTAGGCTTCAATCTAGCTGTAATACATTTACTTGAATGTAAAAAGTGGACGAAACTGCCCAAGTAAATCTGATACTATTCAGTGGGACAAACTAACTGCTGATACAATTACCCAAGCTTCACCAGAATAGAAAGCAGTTTCATTTGTTCCTCTGAATCATATTTACTGTAAAGAAAAGGCAGTAGAAGCTCTGCAGAAAACGGCTGCTTCATTTGATATCACAATCAATAAAAACCACATGACAACATCTTTCCCCAGATGAAGTCAGGGTGAATTTTATCCTGGGCTCAATAGAGTCGTGATTCCTACCCATACACTTGAATTCAAGCTCCACATACTTACAGTTCCAAAACTAAGATGTAAGAAGTAGGAGACTCGTAGGTATCATGGATAGTGATGTACTGAGGATGCTGTAAGTGCTGTAACAAAGCTGCTTCATGTGCTGCCTGCTCTTTCTTTTTCATTTTTTTACTAATGAATTTTACAGCAACATCTTTCCGTGTGGCTTTGTGAACACATTTCTTTACTATGGAGAATCGGCCCCTGAAACAACAAAAACCCCAGAATAATGAAGGGGCCTCATGAATAAAACACATCTGATTTTAAATGCAATAACACACTCATTTTCAAAGTGTCGTTTGATTCAGCACACTGATATTTCACAAGGAATCAGATCTAACAAGTTGTTCATAGCCTTTTCCAACAAAGAGCCTCCGTCTCTTACCCTGGATGTCAAGATTCTTTGGGGATTAGGAAATACTGAGAGCAAACGGTGTCACTTTGCTTTGTGCAGTCATACTGATGTCCTTTAACAATCTCCCCTGGGTTCAATTTGCTGCCACTTCTACAAGTTCTATCTGTTGGGTTTTTTTTAGCTCTGGGTCTCCCTTCTCCAGTTCCTTTAATAGAGAGCCCAAACTTTCTCAGACAACTAAAAGAAAAGCCTTGTTAAATAATCACTAACCTATCATTTTGTCTCAATGTTTCAGGCATAGTAAGAAATTAAGAAAGAGCTGGCAGGAGAGCATTTATGAAAACTCTTACAGACTAGTGCCTAGTACCGATCTTGAAAGTAAAACTACTCAGTGAAACCGTGTGCTGAACTTGGCCTCTTATTAATACATCACCCTTATTTCTGCAGAACCAGAGGACTCCTGTCCTTTCAGCCCCACAATTACAGAATCACAGAATCCTAAGGTTTGGAAGGGACCTCAAAAGATCATCTAGTCCAACCCTCCTGCAAGAGCAGGGTAACCTAGAGTACATCACACAGGAACTTGTCCAGGCGGGCCTTGAATATCTCCAACGTAGGAGACTCCACAACCCCCCTGGGCAACTTGTTCCAGTGCTCTGTCACTCTCACAGTAAAGAAATTTTTCCTGATGTTCACATGGAACCTCCTATGCTCCAGTTTACACCCATTGCCCCTTGTCCTATCACTGGACATCACTGAAAAAAACCTCGCTCCATCATCCTGACACTCACCCTTTACATATTTGTAAACATTGATGAGGTCACCCCTCAGTCTCCTCTTCTCCAAGCTAAAGAGACCCAGCTCCCTCAGCCTCTCCTCATAAGGGAGATGTTCCCTTCCCTTAATCATCTTTGTGGCTCTGCGCTGGACTCTTTCAAGCAATTCCCTGTCCTTCTTGAACTGTGGGGCCCAGAACTGGACACAATAATCCAGATGCGGCCTCACTAAGGCAGAGTAGAGGGGGAGGAGAACCTCTTTCGACCTACTATCCACACCCTTTCTAATGCACCCTAGGATGCCATTGGCCTTCTTGGCCACAAGGGCACATTGCTGGCTCATGGTCATCCTCCTATCCACCAGGACCACCAGGTCCCTTTCCCCTTCACTACTGTCCAGCAGGTCAGCCCCCAACCTGTACTGGTGCATGGGGTTGTTCTTCCCCTTGTTGAATTTCATCAAGTTCCTCTCCGCCCAACTCTCCAGCCTGTCCAGGTCTTGCTGAATGGCAACACAGCCCTCTGATGTGTCAGCCACTCCTCCCAGTTTAGTATCATCAGCAAACTTGCTGAGGGTACATTCAGTTCCCTCATCCAGGTCGTTGATGAAAATATTAAACAGCACTGGTCCCAGCACCAACCCCTGAGGGACTCCACTAGTCACAGACCTCCAGCTAGATTCTGCCCCATTGACCACAACTCTCTGCCTTCTTCCTTCCAACCAGTTCTTGATCCACCTCACCACCTGATCATCAAGCCCACACTTCCTTAGCTTATCTATGAGGATGCTGTAGGAGACAGTATCAAATGCCTTACTGAAATCAAGAAAAACCACATCAACCACTCTACCATCATCCATCCACCTAGTTACTTGCTCATAGAAGGCTATAAGGTTGGTCAAACATGACTTCCCCTTGGGAAAGCCATGCTGGCTACTCTTAATGACCCCCTCATCCTTGATATGTCTAGAGATGGTGTCAAGAATAAGTTGTTCCATCACCTTTCCAGGGATGGAGGTAAGGCTGCCCACCTCTGATCTCTGAGCTGAAGATCTAACTGCATTAACCTGAATTGTTTGCATGCCCCTTATCTGCTGTCTCTGCAGAGCACTGAGGGCTGATAACATATGCAGCTTCTATTTAGGCTCCTGTCAGCTGACCGTCCCAACTGGCAAAGCGCTTTGGCATGTGATTTAAGTCGGTCATATGCCTAAGTGCTTCAGCGAACTCAGGCTTTGAGGTTAAGCTTATCCAGAACCAGCAAATCGTCATGACTTCGAAAGTTTGCATCAAATCAGAGATGACAGAAGAGATACCAGCGACAACTACCAATGGTTGTCAGAGATTTAGCTGCCTAATTGTTCACAAGTTTGCCAAGTTGCAATCCTCAAATCACAACTGATCTCAAAAAACAAAATTTAGTCAGTATTTTAACCGGTCAGTACTTTAATCGGTATTTAATGGGCAATGCTCTTTGAAAGTAGCAGCCTTGTTCACACTAACTACGAGGGGCAGCTTAAACTTTAATCCAAAGAAAAAGCTTCAAGCCATTGTTTCGGTGTTTTATTGCAGTGATAAGCAGGGTTAATATTACCTCCCAATCTCATGCAGCTCTGCATAAGCGAGGTCAAAGTTTTCCTTCCATGAAATAGTAGCACCGTCAGCAGCAGAGTCTTTGAGAGAACAAAGTACATTCAGGAAAGCATAAAGTTAAAGACAGTTTCCTGTGGACTATAAACAGCATATTTTAGAATTATGTGAGATTGCATTACTTAAAACAGCAAACATTATCACTTGGGGTCCAGTTTCATACTGCTCAGGGACAGCTCCAATGTGTTGGACCACTGAAAGCCAGAGCTCCCCAGAGGAAGGTATGAATAAAGTGGATTCTAATCTGTCCTTGCAATTTTGCACTGAAAAGAGCCACACAGACAGTCTAAGGGCACATCTGTGTGTAACTGGCAAGTAGAGCTATGCTGTATGAGCTCTCCTTTCATCTGGCACAGGCTATCCAAGCAGTTGCACACCTAGTTATGCATTAGAGCTGCTAAAACATAGGGAAATGTGAGCTCTGCTCACCTCACCATCATGAGAAATCACCCACATTCCTGCAGTACCATGTGCTGGGGGCTTGCCTCCATCACAGCCTTCTTATGCTGGCTGCATTGCTTGGGGGCTACATTTTGCGAACTGACTTGCAGACCCCAGCTGGGCTGCCCAGCAGAAGCTGCTGGTGCTGCTGGCACTGCTGGAAAGGCAGGGGGAACACCAACCAGAACATGGAGCCTGTTGCCCAGAGGTAAAGACAAGTAGTCTTGGGATAGAGAGCAGGGACCTGCTAGGAAACTGCAGAAAGTTCTGTGACACTGAGAGGCTGTGAGCCCTGTGAGAGGAGCAGAAATGAAAAACCTTTCTAACGGCAGGAGCTGGCTCTCAGCATCTCCTAGGCGGTTTCTTGTATTCCTGATAGGTCCAGGATAAGTGTTTTTATTGGGATCCATCAAAGCACACCATTGCAGACCATGCATCAACCCCTCCTTACTGTGCCCACTCACCGTACTCTGGGAGTCTCACAAATTCAGATGGGTCACTGGGCAAGCTGATCCCCCAGGGGTTGCTGGCGCTCACTCGAAACTGATACTGGCAGCCTGGGGCCAGGTCTTCAATGACGAGGTATGTGTCCAATGTGGAGGCTACCGACTGCTGCCAGACTTGTGAGCCTGCGTTTGTAGGGAGAAAGAAGGAGAATTAAAGGGAACTCTCAATAAATTAACTCAGAGCAGTGGTTTTCTCTGCCCAACTCACGCACTACCCTAGGAGGTTAAAATCCACAGATTTTTAAAAGGCAATGTTACAGTAGACTGATGTATTTCTGTTAAACTGAACCAGACCACAGGAAGCTATTTGGTGTTGCAGCCACTTTCCAGTCTGGCTAAATGAGGGAAGAAGGAAATGCCCCTCACTTGACCGATAGCAATGGAAAAAACACAGCCCAAGCAGAAGCTGATCTCTCCAGCAGCCTAGCTGTGGCTGTGTGCTACAAGCGATGTCTCAGGGCAGTGTGATAAGACAGGAATGGAGGGCTGATTTGGTGACAGCTCTGCTGTGAGAGAAACGGTAGCAGAAATACTGCAAAAACAGTAAGGACAAGGGAGTTGCATATGAAGCTGAGACAGAGTCAGTACAGTCCAAGTGCTTTTGCAGATGAAATCTTTTTCAGAAGATGTGGTGGCTACAATGAAACCAGGAGCTGCAGGAGGAGAACCAGCATTCTGAGGTTCAGTGTGGGATTTTTGCAGATGAGCAGCACTGCAGCAAAGAAATGTGTGACTTCGTCATGTGTTTCTGCTCCTAACAGAAATAAATCCAACTATTGCCTAATCTGTGCCAGCCAAATAAGCAATACTTTATTCATCTGCACAGGGTCACAGAACAGAAAAGGACCCCGGTACATTAAGGCCTGTCACAGCCTATTATTTCTTTATAGAATATATAAAATTTTACCTTATTTTCGTAAGTTCAGGGCTTTTTACCTTTATACTATTTACCATAACCCATTTATTTTGTGTTGACTATGGGCAAATTCTGACTGCCAGGTCTCACAAGGTTAAAGTTGGTTTTACAGGGAAAAGTCAGTGATTCCTTTGGAGTAGGAGCAATACTGAAAACTGAAAACACTGCTGCCTTTCTTCCGTTTGTTTTGGTGGCTGTTGTTAATAGAAGCGCTTTTATTCTTTCACAAAAAAGCCAGTCACACTGATGGCACAGTGCGGGTCAAGGCAGACTATTTGCTAAAAAAGCATTAATATGGAGTGATTAAGTTTGCACATTTACTAACATGAGGTAGGAGTTTTTGAAGGATAAAGAGATAAAACCAGACAACAAACCTAAAGCAAGCTTTACTGCCCAGAGACCCTCTCAGCTTCGCAGGAAGAATGCAAAAAGGGATGTAAATCATTTCACATGCCCTTTTCAAGAGCACATGCCTGTATTGGGAAAAGAATGCACTTAATGTCTTTTTAATTCTTCAGGGGAAAAGGACGATTGGATTTAAGAACAAATGGATTTCAGAGCTCAGCTTGAAAAGTATGCAGGAATTTGCAGCACTATTCAGGTTAAAAAGAAAAAAAAGAAAAGAGACTGCTTTGACTTTGCATGCCCAGGAAACATCCACCAGGAAGGACGGATACCATGGTGGCAGAATGCAAATGACGAAGTGATGCCTTAGTGGTTGATACGTTTTATCTTAGCACTCTTTACTTGCCATATATGACCAGAGGAACTAGAAAGGTCTGCAATATATGAGAATTTGAACTGGGTGATAGAAGGGCTTCTTTTGGCCTTAGACTTTGTGAACAACAGCTAATGGCACCCCAGTGGTGGCAAAGATGGTTTTGGAACCTGTTGTGCCATAAAGGAGACTTACTTTGTTCTTACGAAACCACTTACCTTCTTCTCTGTACTCCACAGTGTAGCCTGAAATGGTGCAATTGCCTGTACTGGATGGCGGTAGCCAGCGTAGGATCACAGAGGTACAGCTTCTCTCCTGAGCAATGGGGCGATTTGGGGCAGCTGGGACACCTTGGGAAGAGAAAACAAGCACCAAATCCAGCATAGCATCAACAGGTGCTAGTGCTTTATTCTGAAGATCAGGTGTATCAGGTACATCAGGTCAGCTGTTGCTTGCAGAGGGAGCATTCTTGTTTACAGTGGGTTACCAGTACAGCCAGAGGAAAGGCAATGTCATGGTCCCATTCACCTACCCCCATGGGTCTGATACTTCCATACTAGCCGTTTTGAGAGAGCCATGCTGCGTGAAAGCCTCACTGCCTCAACATGGTCTCACAGTATTACAGTACAGGGGGAATTTCTTCTTCCTCACAGGTGGTCAGCTGCGCTGCGAGGCCCCACAGAGTTCCCTGCAAGACTGGCTGGGTGAATCACTCCTTGGGTGTCGAGGATCTGTCTGAGCTCAGCTGCTGTAAAGGCAGAGCATCTTCACCTGCCACCTTCTGCTGCTGTATTTTGCTCCTGATGCAAACCATATAGAACTGAGGAAAACAAATATCCACATGGACTTCACCAAGCAGCGAGGGAGGTTCTGCAGGTGAGGAGGTAGTTACTGTTGAAGTGTCCAAAAATGACACAAGCAAGGCATTCAGAAGGCTTCTGTGTGTATGGCACTTGGTATGTCTGGCAACAGATTGACAAATGACCAGTAATTCTCCTGTGCTTTGCTCAGGGCTCCCTTCAGCACAGGAGTAGTTAACGTAGCCACTAACTTGCTTGGATAAATTGGGGAAATTATATCTCTAGGGCACTTTGCAGGACCAAACAAATTGATTTCTAAATGCTTGTGACACTCCTTTATCTGTAAGTCACCAGTTACACATTTGTCTTTGTGCCAGTCCCTTCAAAACAGCAGATACCCTCCATCTCTCATGATAACAGATCCCTTCCTAGAGCTGGAGGTCATAAGCATCAACTCATTATTTCATATTCATTACAATTAAGATGGGTCACTAATTACAGTGCTGAGAATTCAGGCTCAGAGACGTGTCTCTGAGTTGAATCCCTGCAGAACAGTTCACCCAAGCCAAATCTTACTCTCACTTCCTCCTTTCAGTGTAGGCTGAAAGTTCATGTCACTGTATCCCAGGTCCTCTGCTCCAGGCAGACTCTAAAGGCCTGAGCTCCCTATGGGCAGCCGGGGTGTCACCCTCCAAGGGCTTGGCAACCTAAGGGAGCTCCACTTTCCGCGCTGACCTTATCAAGCCCCTGGGGAGCAGCACTGCAAGCAGGATGCAGGAGCTGAACCAGTGCCAGCGCATTTTCATTTCCCAGATGCGATACTTATGATCAGACAACTTAATCAAGCTCAAAGAGTCTGTGGTGCCTTCAGCCATCAGTGGGAGTCTTGGCTGAGGAATGGTTTTATGATTTTAATGTCTCATTTCCCCTGGCACAACTCCACATCCAGCTGCCTTTGCACTGGCTATTCCTGTGTGCTCCCAGCCCCCACCAAGGGACCCCATACAGGAAGAATCCTGCGTGTTAAGGTCAGATGCACTACCTTGAACTTTGATGGTTGCAGAGGTTGATGCAGTTCCATGTTCATTGGTTGCCACACAGGTGTAAATGCCGCTGTCCTGAGGCATCAGGTTGCAGATCTTCAAGGTGAGCTCCCCAGAGTCACTGTGGATTGCAAGAAAGCCCCAGTTATAAAGTGCTGCTTCATTTGCTAATGTTTTTTATACCAGTTCCTGTCCCACATCATTACAAACACACGTGTGCACAAATTATGTTAACTCATTTGAAGGCACATCCCTCCAGCAATCTGGTACCTAATTACCACATCTCCATATGTCAGGATTAAGCTGTTAAAGAATCCTTTGAGCAGAATGATCCAAACTGCCTGCCAGGCAAATCTATTTGTCTGCTGTGGCCATAGAGGAAATGGGGAAAGATGACTTAAGAAGCCAGCAAAGTCCAGGAGCTGAGCATTTATTGTGCCTGTCCAGAGCTGGATGCTTAGACTTCCTATACCTGGAAATATATCTCCAGGCACTTTTTTTCTATCTTGGGAACTGCTGAGCTGCTGTGCCTCTGAGTTAAGTCCAACATATGCCAGACAAATTGGATTTCCTGCAGATGCAGAAGGCAGTCACACAGCTCAGGGTATTTGACATTTTTGGGGAGTTTCAGACCCCTGGAGCATGTGCCATTGATCTAATGTGGCTGCTAGGAAGTCAGAAGACTGGACATCTCACAACAACTAGGGATAAGGAGCACCAGTACCAGGTTCATGAGAGACAGTCTCTGGGCCTATCTGAGAAAATGAACAGCTCTACAGAGACTGATAAATGTATAGCAGGTGAATTTCTAGCAGACTAGTGAATTTTATAGCAGAATTTATGTATTACGTAGTCACTTTTGTTTGCACATTGCAGTCTTCAGTATGCAGTTTCAGGAAGTTGGCCTGAATTAAAGGATTTTGCTTGTGTAAGTGCTTTAGCTGTACTGGAGACCCAGCTTAGAGCCAACAATAAATTTCCTTGATGGTAAAAGTAGTCTACTTCTTGAATGTGTAATCTATCAGCAACTCCAGAAGTACATGGTTGATGGTATAACTGCCTGGATGCTGTGGCTTTTGCTAGTCTAACTATGCTGGTTTAAAAGAGGACAGAAATATCCCCTTCCCCTACAATCCAGACACTCAAGCCAGCAAGATTTCTAAGACAGCCACTGATCTCCTGGGCCTCTCCTTCACAGGCAGTGTCTCCACTGAAAGCCAAATACAAGTATCAAGACAATACAAGTGCTGATAGTGAGCAGGGAGCTAATGCACAGGCAAAAATCTGTGATGGAAAACAGAACCCTGCACAGAAATATCTCCCCATTCCAACCCCAGCCAAAGCCTGAAGATAAGGCACTAGAGATCTACTGAGTAATGGCTAAGAGATGATTTTGGGTGCTCTGGGGTGGCTGCACAAGCCAGTGGTCTCTGAAGGAAGCTCTTGATCAGATGTATTTTTTTTTATTGAACATGTGAAATCCCTTCTCTCTTAGTGTTCATTTTTCACTTGCAGTGACTTTGTGCTCCCTGGACAGAAGTGCTGAAAAATTTGTATGAAAGATTACCTCTTGGAGATTTCCACTACATTTTGGCCCAAATTGCTTATATAAGCTGCAGATGAGCATCCAGCAGCAAGCTGCTACCTGACCTGAATTCAACTCCAGATCTTTTGGATCTTCCCAGTGCTTGTTGTAATGATGGTTTTCCTCCCCCCGTAGCTGGAACATTATGACAAGAATCTTTCTGTCCCAGGACAGTCAGATATAGCCTTCCCAGGAACACACATAGGCTCTTTTAGAAACAGCTGAGGAAAGGCTCAGGAAAACTGCAGGAGTTACCACCTCTGCCCATGAGATGAGAAAATTCCCCATGATATGGGTATTGCAAGTTGGTGAAGGCTTGCTTTGCTGGACTCCTGCTGCTTCCAAAGGTGAGCATGGCATCAAACTTGAGCAGAGAAGCCCCAGCAACACAGAGGCAGTATCAGCCAAGTCAGTATGTTGGAAACGTTCTGGCTTACAGCTGGCTCAGGTCAATAGGAGCAAGCACACATCTGCCAGCAACACACTTTGTGGATATACCCTGTGACAGCTCAGGAAATGATAGAGCTACCCGAACCCCAAAGTTTGACCCTTTCTATCTGATATGTAGTGCACTGATACGCTGATATGCCATGCCAGACTTGATTAACTACATTTCTAATGAGTCTTGTAGCCTGGCTGGTGCTACAGATTTGAGAACAACATGACCACCATGACTACCTGTGTTAGGATCCACAGATAGGTCCTTACCAGGATGACACTGTGTAAGTGGCTGTGCTGTTGTCATTGTCAAGAATGTTTTGATCTGGTCCTTTCCAGGTGATAGTTGGTTTGGGCCGTCCACAGACTTTGCACTGCAGCATCACTGTGTCACCAAGCAGGCAGGTGATGTCCACTAATGGCACAAGAAACTCTGGAGCCACTGGAAAAAAACATGGGACACACACATGACACCTTGTTTTAATCCACAGATGAGGATATTCCCCATACAAGTCCAGAGAATACATCATAGGACCAGTGATGGGATCTGTGTCCCAAACAGCTGGTGGTCCTGGTATTATGTTACCAAAACTCCCCCTTCACTAAAAGCCAGTTTTTGGCAGCTCAGAGAAGGAGGCAGCAGGGACTATCCATCCCCCAGCCCTGTGCTCTGGCAGGAGGGTGAGACTGTGTAAAGGCAGGTTTGAGGTCCAGGCTCATATGTGGCCTCAGGCTCTCTCAGCTGAGCAGCCAGCAGGAAGACTACTTTCCCTAGGGACTGAGCAGTGGAGAGCTGCTTTTGCTGTAAACACGGGTGGGTGCAGAGCATGCTGTTGCACCAGAATAAATCACAGCTGCTGACTTGCCCCTCAGTGCCAGTCAGTGCACAGCTGTCCTTAGCTTACCTTCTTGAATGAAATTGGGGTTGATTATCTGTAAAATACAAAGAAATAAAAGCATTTATTTTTCTGGGCAGTGACAGAGACATCTGTTTTCACAAGGTACCATGGGGACCCTGACCAGAACTGCAAAAGCACTGACCAGTGGCTACAAGCAACCTCTATAACAGCTGGCAGGTGCAGCAAGCTGTAGTGACCACAGAACAAGCCCATGCACAGCTGGGAAAGCAGAAGAAAGCTATGGCTTCTTGAACTCTGATAAAGCATCACAGGTAACAGGCACAGCACTAAGGCTGAGGAGGGTGGAAGTGCTTTCTCTGCTTGGGTGAGAATGCTCAAGCCATTAACTTCTCTTCCTGGAGGTGGTTTGTGCCCTGCTGTGCCCAGCTCCATACCCACCCACCCAGCACCTGCAGTCACCACACACCTGAGGCATCTCACCAGCCACTAACCAGCTTTGGGGAGACATCTTTCAACATCTGCTCAGCTTCAGGAAAGAAAAGTAAAGCACTAAACCAGAAATACTGCCTTCTTTTTGCCTCCTGGCAAGTACCAGTCCTGCAACAATATTGGTCTATCATAATGAGTAAAATTTCACTTACTTCATTGGACTGCTGGAAACCTTCCAACTAGCAACTAGGTTTGGATAACCGAAAGTTATTTTAGCTACCTAGTTAATTGATCGAGTTAGCAGAGACCTGAAAAGCTACTGTTTCTCTGTGCCCTATATATGCCAATTACCTCATGTAACCCTTGAAGCAAACCTGGGAAGAGCAAAACCAATGCCACTAAGTTCTTACACATACAGAAGCAACCCTAACTACATAGTGATGTACAGTAGTATAGGGGTTTTAGCCTCATTAACTCTTTTAATAATCTCATAAGGCCTTGTTATCCAAAACCAAACTCATAATTTGCTATCAAGCACCATAAGCACCAGTGTGATTTATCTTGCTTTAAATATCTTTGTTACTATCTATTTCAGAGCTATTTTGGAAGATGCCAATGAAGCAGTGACCTAATTTGTGGCTGCCAAAGCTGGTGGGAGCTTTTTAGAGATTGAGAAAACAGGCCATAAAGCAGAAGCAATAACCCTTCAAAACAACATAGATACATCTTCCAGATTTATATTTACATTTTGGCTTTATAAATAGTTTTCCAAGGTGAATGGCTCAGGGTGCCGTTCAAGAAGGCACTTGAGCATATTCAGGTTCATTTTGGTTTCATAGCCCTTCTTCATGCCCAGGCAAAACTGGTACCAGCACTGAGACCTCAGGGTCCGCTTTCTCTTATCACTACCAGGAAGCCCAAATGAGAGTGTGAGGGGCTCAGAGGCAGCGACTGCTGCTCCACAGGGTCCAGGATCCACAGAGAGCCCCCTGGATCCTGTAGGCAGGAAAAAATCAGGACACAACAGGGCACTGGTGAAGAAAAACATCTCTCCCATCTGTGCCTGTGGGAAAGGAGAGATGGATTTCTGTGACTAAGTTGTATTGCTCCCACAACACAGCAAAGGAAGGCAAAGCTGTTCTGTGGATAACCACTGCTTGCCATTTTTTAATCAATGAGACCATCTACTTATCAGTTGAGTAACCCCAGGCATCAGCTCATTTACACATACATCTTCATTTTTGTAGTTTTTGGCTAAAGTAAAATACACATCTGTCCTCCAAAGCCTTCCCCTTCCTTCCCTGCAGCATGCACTAAATTCCATTATTATTCACTTATTTCCATCATTGTAAGATTAAAGATCAGGAGAAAGAAACACTCCTAACACTTCATATTAATTTTATAACTTTAAAGGATTCATTAGAAGATGCAGCTACAATGATAAATGTAATGGATATATCTATAAATAAATAATGCTACATTTCTAATGACTTCCAAGGCACAATCATTTATAATAATTGCCTTACCAGTGTTTTTTTTTTCCTCTTGCCTCACCATGGGAATATCAGAAAGAAAATTACCGCCACTAGGTAACACTGAATGAGACTGGTTAAAATTTACATTTCCTTTGTTGAAACTTAGTATGTTAATTAATGGCATGTTACCTAACATCCCCACAGCCACATCACAGCTTTTGCCTGCTGTAAGCTTAGACAAAAATAAAAGCCTGTTTGCACAAGAATGTTTAAGTGCTACCAAAGTGATTTAATACATCACTCAATTAGGGAACAAGGTTTGGTCTACTTTGAAGGAAGGGGTCAAATATCAGGGTGAGAGGGCAGAAATAGCAAAGCAAAGGTTCACAGGCAGATTTGCAGCCAGAAGCAAGCTCCACTGGCTCACACATCCGCTTCCAGGCCCTGGGGGCTTGCTGCTTCTCTCTGCAGTCTGTCTGGCTTTCCAGGCTATGGGTGCCTGGCAGGAGATGACAGACTCCACAGAGTCCTTCTAGATTAAGTGCAAGACCTTTGGATATTATTTCTTCTTTTGCTAAATAGGTTTTTAATCCCCATGGGTGGAGACAAGGGCTCCAGAGCATGGCCCTGCTTCCCTCAGAGGACAGCAACTCACATACCGCTTGTCCGCACAGCCTCCTACCAATGCCAGGGCTGGTTTCCCTAATGGACCGATTTGCCAAGCACCTCCTACAGCCTCTTCAAAATGATTGTGTGAAAAAAAATTGGAAAAGCTGTCAAAATCCTTGCAAGTAACTCTTCCCGATTCTCTTCCTCTTTCTCAGGACTTTTACAGAGATGAAAGCCAGGCTGTGTTGCTCTGAAGAGCAGAAATCTCTACCAGCAAGGAGCAGGCTGCTGGCAAGCAGGGTGAGGTATTACATATGGACGTGGACAGCACACCCGCTCTCCCGCTCTCCTTCCCCCCCCCCAGCCACTGAGGCTCAGGGGCCAGCATGCTGCACCCACAGCACATAATGCTGCCAAAGATGCTCACATGGGCAATGACAGCATCCAAATCCAAGGGACCTTTTCCTTGGAGAAAAGAGGGTAAAAGACCACCCTCTCCAGCAAGTTTTCCCCCTTTTTAAAGCCCTCCTTGCCCCTGGTTTCTCCCACACAAGCTGAAGAGCAGCAGTGGTGTTTATGGGGGTGATGCAGGAGTCCCAGATTCTGTGCATCACTCTCTCAGGGAATGCTCTGTGCTACTTTGAAATTACTATGTGGGGAAAAAAACGCCTGCTGGTCATGTGGTTTTGTGGGGTTTTGCTTTTCTTCTCTGTGAAAAGCAACATAAGGCTCAGCCCTGAAACCCCATTCAATCAGAAGCAGTTTGAACAAGGATCTCCCAGACCAGCCCTCAGCCCAGCATTCCTGGCCATGGGGGCCATGAGCAGGGAAGGCAGCCTGGGTCTGACACTGACAAGGGCTCCTTGAAGAAGTCCCAGCAAACACCAATTGCACCACTGTGGCTCCTGATCTGGTCTGAGAGTGAATAAAGTCGTGGGATGGAACTACTAAATGCAAAAACTTCTCACATGATATTCAGTGTCAGTCCACAGCAGGCAAACACAAACCCTAAGGGGTGAAACTCAGTCGGCAATGCAGTCACTCCTAAGGTAAGAAACACAGCTGGCTCTTTTCTCTATGAACATAAATTTGGATGAAATGAGATGGATTTATTTTTTCCATTGGATTAAATGTCTGAAGCCTTGTCCAGGATAGGTGGAAACTCGTAATGCTCCCTATTTGGCCACAGTTTCCTTTTCACATACAATGACAGCTGAAAATGAAAACCCCACACAAGGTGGCAGAAGTAAACCATGAAATGGCCTCTACAGAAGTGACTTGTGGTTTAACACTGACCAGGCAAAGACAGGGAGCTGGAGGGAGAGTTCAGTGAGATGAGGAAATGGGAGGACAGGTCAGGTTATTCAGCAAAAAATCCAGACACAAGACCTTGCTTCTACCTCCCTCAGCCTGTGCTGTTTCAGGGCTCAAACTAAGAAAGGTACAAGGTGTATACCTGAATACCTTCGGGGACCTGCAGGGATCTAAGTGACTTAGATCTAAGTAACTTAAGTGTAACTTAGTGTGGCAATCCTGTATACATACAGCACCTCCCGTATGAAGATAGGCTGAGAAAGTTGAGGCTGTTTAGCCTGGAGAAGAGAAGGCTGTGTGGAGACCTCATAGCAGCCTTCAAGTATCTGAAGGGGTCCTATAAGGATGCTGGGGAGGGACTCTTCATTAGGGACTGTAGTGACAGGACAAGGGGTAATGGGTTAAAATTTAAACAGGGGAAGTTTAGGTTGGATATAAGGAGGAAATTATTTACTGTTAGGGTGGTGAGGCACTTGAATGGGTTGCCAAGGGAGGTTGTGAATGCTCCATCCCTGGCAGTGTTCAAGACCAGGTTGGACGAAGCCTTGGGTGAGATGGTTTAGTGTGAGGTGTCCCTGCCCATGGCAGGGGGGTTGGAACTAGATGATCTTAAAGTCCTTTCCAACCCTAACTATTCTATGATTCTATGATTCGATGAATCAGACTTTAGAAAAGCAGCATACGTGCTCAGTATTTTGCAGTACTGGGCCACATTTTTCCTGGTCTGTTAAGCTCATGTTATAAAGATAGAAAGGCATTTGCAGCAGTAGCAGCAAAGTCCACTTGCAAAGTGACTAAGACTGCCCTAATTCTTAGCAAGAGTTTATCTTTCATTTGTGCACACCTGCTGTATCTTGTGCAGAGCGAGAGACCATCCTGCAATGCCAGCGGCCAGTCTGAAACACTCTGCAAGTGCAGCCCAGCTGCCTGCGAGGGCTCCTTGCCTTGCCCAGGGTTTGCTTCTCCATTGCAGATGTCCTCGCCATGTCTAACCCACCTCCTTGAAAGAGCCTTGAGCCCAACCCAGACACATGCAATGCACAGAAAAGCTCAGCCAATGCCCAGATTCCAGGTCCACTTTCAGTCCCATTTTAAGGGAATTCATCAAAACCAGGATTGAGAATACTTTTTCCCCCAGATCATAAGGCTAGGCTGCAAACCAAGCCCTCTGTAATAAGATCCATTCTTTATCTAAACAGCAGAGGGCATGTTTACTCCAAGACAAGCAGCTCAGTATTATGTAAGTACTTCATGGCACCTCTTGGTCACCGAGTTAAAATAAAATATTGACGCATTTGCACATGCTGGCAGCAGAGTCAGCAGCATGCTCCTGGCTCCCTCACGCAAAAAACACTGAAAAGATGCTCAGAGAAAAATGAAATGAGTTACAGAGGAATTAAGCCAACTCAAATTTGCAAGAAAAGATCCATCAACCCATGTCTGACTTGGGTCACCTTCTACTTTGAGACTTTTGGGGGGGGGGGGTCACAAGCTCACAGTGTCACCTCCCTCAAAAAAAAGAAAAAACAAGGAATTTCTTGATAAAAGGAGCAAGTAAGGATCCCACTGCCTATGGACAGATGATACCGAAGAGAAAATGTAATTTTAAATGGGAGAATGGTATCTGATGAAATATCCCACAGCAGAAGCCTTTTAGTGGGGATGGGGAATGCCTTCTGGCACCCAGCACGGATGGGTTTCGCTGCCTTTGAGACTGATGGAGAAGCCACAAAGGGTGCTGACTGTTCCACATGCACCTGTGCAAAGCAGAAGTCCTCTTGCCCTCACCATGCTCCTGCTGTCAGGCCCTAATAGCTGTGTGCTTCCATGCCTGTAGCTGGTGGGATGTCTCTGGTACCCCGGGGTACCGTGTTGTAGCACCCCACCCCCTTCCTGCAGATGAAGTAGGTCACTTCTTCCTTTTCCAAAAGCTAAACCCCTGCGTCTGCGCAGCCAGCTCCAGCTATGTCACACCTGATGAGCCACCTTCCTGGTCAGTCTCAGCAACCCCTGGCCACTCAGGGCACCAGGACAGCAGTGTTGCCCGTGGAGGCCCCCCCAGGGAAACACAGGAGGTTCTCAGGATGGTACCAGTTCATACTGTGGTAACAGGCCAGGAAAGACTTTCTTACCAGTACTGTACAAGATCTCACCAAGACAGTACGTTAGAACTGCTCTGGAGATGGACAACTCAAGGCAGGGGTGAAGGCATTTGCCTAAAGCACTTGGGAATTCTTGGCCTGAGCTGAGTGTTGACTTGGAGCCAATGCTGTATCCACCAAACCATTACTTACTCAACCATTTGGACTATGGGGCTGCTAACACAATATTTCTCCCTATAGGATGTTTCCTATTGCTTATCTTGCTCTAAGTGTCTCTGAGTAGTTCTTAACATGCTAAAATGTCATAACTGAAAAAAAAATAGATTCTGAAGCCCAACTTACGTACCTTGGCAATAGCCCAGCTCACTAATCTAATGATGGCACTTCCACTGACTTGGGGTGGGCCTGGACTTCATCTCTCCTTTGCACAGCTAAGAAACTGGAGCAAACACTAGACACTGGGTGACAGTTGTGTGCTGGTCAGGATTACTTGTAACACTCTGCAGTTGGTATCACGTGCAAAACAAGACATCTGGAGACATGTCAGATCCTCAACATGTGGGGTCCACTCCAAAGCCCAGAAGAGCTGCTGCTGAACTTAGCTCAGTCAGGTCTTCTGACTGCTGGAAGGACATTCATTTAGCAAGAGCGGTAGCTCAGTGGGATCTGCACAGTTGACTTAAGACCTCTTCAGCGATATCGAAACCCCATGAGATGTTACGACACAGAACTGTAGGACAAATAGTTGTGTCACTGTCCAGGACCCCAGACTTGGGCGTGTATATTTACTGATTCACAGGGGCATACACCTTCTTCCCAGAAGTGGAGTTGCCTGTCCCTGTGCAATTAGCTACAGACACGTGGAAAGGGAGTCTCCAACCTTTCTTAAATACAGGTTACTCCTATCCCTCACATGGCTACCTATGTTCCTTAAGTGCCTGCTCCTACACTCACGTGCCTAACAGGTGAGTTTGCACCTTCTATTTTGTGGTACAACAGGGCAAAGCAGGACCCCCAAATTTCATTTCCATCATTATGCACATTCAGTACATATTAATAAACAAAGGTAAAAGAAACAGCCACCAAGAGACACTATTTCTAGTCAAGAGTTACAGTGAATGGAGAGTTCTTCAGGGCTGGCAAGTCCCTGTGTGGGCAAAAGCACAGTAATAGCATTTTAGCTTTTTTTTAAACAATCACCAGAATTTCAGTTTCCCGCTCTCACTACATATGTTTCTTGCATTTCTTTCTATGTTCCCTCTTGAAACAAAGGCAAAGTGCTTCAGAAATCTGGATCTACTGAACAGATATGTGATATTTTATAAATAGCAAGCAAAGCGACATCTGAAGGACCACAGCAGCTGTGGGACTCCATGGATGTTACTACCAGCTTACTGACTTTTTGCACAGTGACTAGGCTGGAGGCAAATTGCACAAACATTTCCAAGTATTAACATGCCTGCTTTGCATTTAGAGACTGCTCTCTCTCTTCCAGCAGTGGGTGCACATTCTCATGCGTGATGGGAGGAAGAGAGATGTCAGGGGTGACAGTCCAATAGGAGAGGCCAGGTGACTTGCTCTATTATTACCTGTCTATAATAACAGCTACAGCCGACTCCACCTTAATGACACAGGCAGGGCCTCATGTACTTCTGAATGTTGATGGCCAGCACACAGCTCTCTTACCAGCACTCCCAGTTTCCATAATGTCCATCAAGAGCTGACCCAGGTGTGAGGACGAGGCATTCTCTCCCCTTGGACAGCCAGTCACCCTGTCTCCAACTGCCCATGCAATAAAACCAGCAAAAAGCAAGGGCCGTGCTGCTCCTTGCAGGGCAGTGTGACCTTAGCAAGTCAACCCACAACTGCACTCTTATTTTCTCTCCCTCTGACACTTTAAATATTTGCTGAGCAACACAGAGTTTTGCTCAGAAGCAGAATTGAGCTTTCCAAGCCATAAGGAACAGGGTGGCTCCTGGGGAACGCAAGGCAGTGCTATGAGTGATGGTGCCACCTCCAGTAAATGAACTGGGAGATGTAGGATGGGGTTTCTGAGTGTAAATGAGTCACATACCAGACACACAGTAACACCCCTGATAGCAGATTCATACCACAGCTAAGACTTCACTAGTCTTTGGGTTTAAACAGAAAGGCTCTTAACTCCTGAACTTCAGAGAGGCAGGCTAGAACAATGACTGTACCATGTTAAAAACCTCAAATCAAATAAATAAAAAGACCCATGTGGAGTATGCTAGAACTAACTAGAAATTCTGATATGTTTAAGGACCCAGATACCTTCCACTGACGATTTCAAAACATTTGGTTTTCCTCCTATTGAGCACAGTCAAAACACTGAAATTCTCTGAAAAAAAATCATGATTCTCACTGAGTTCTGTACAATATACCTGTATCTCAGCACCTTTTACTCCATAGAGCAATTTCCAGTGATCTAAAGCTTACACAAACTCACATGCTATAACTGGGCACTGCCTTGCAACAAATACATACACTTCTAGTTGGCATCTGTGATGGGCAAAATACTCTGAAAATGCAAACACATTCCTGAAAATATTCAGCTTCAGTGGTAAAGATCATCCAATATCTAGGATATCAGCTGGGTCAAAAGTACTAAGTTCCTTTTGTACACATCCCCTTCTCAGAGATGTATTTATTTGCACCAACACAGAATAAAAGAGACCCTTCAAATTAGCAGCGGAGGTGGTGCATCTCAATACATTTCTCCCTCTGTTTTTTTAACCCCTCCTGGAGGAAGATCATCTTTCTTTTGCAGTATGCTTATAGTGCAGCCTGGCTAACAGCATCCCAGGGATCTCTCAGGACACAGATCCCTGTTCTCCAATGATCTGCCCTGTCACTTCTACAAAATCACTTTGATTCAGGTCTCTCTGAACCTTGTCCCTGCCTCTTTCAGTAAGAAGCTCTTCCAGCCTTGGTACAATGTACACAAATGCTTGGTTTGTGGTCAGTATATGCAGAAAAAAAGGGATCCTGCAACACGTTAAGTGAGAAGCACCAGATATATAACTTTTGATGAGTTTAAGATCCTTCAGGCTCTTAAAATGTGGCTTGTCTCGGTCACTCCACTAGAACTGGTGGTTTCACACTGGAAAAAAAGAGCAGTGCAATATATCATAATTTGGGTCCACCTATCTGCATCAGCCTTGTTCTGTGACACAGGTACACTCATGCAACCAGTTTTGCCATTCTCTTTTTGTACCTTTATAGAACTACAATTTCCCACCCCGCTAGGAGATAAAAGACATGTGTTTTCTGGTCTTCTAGATAATTCAAATTATTAGTTGGGTTCAATGACATTTGCTCCAGTGATCTGTAACAGAAGCCTGACTAGCAGTTCAGCACGTATTGCCAGGGCAAGAGGTGTTTAGAAAGCTGCTATGTTTATCAGCAGGTGACATGCATGCACTCTTGTTTCACTGAATGAGGTCCCAGGTGGGAAATGGAGACTGAGGGTGGTTACATAAGCCTCCAGCTCAGAAGGAGCTTGCTCCTCCACTGCTCCCACCACAAAGGCAGCCCAGATTCCTGGCAAAACCAGAACTGGTGCTTTGTGTGACTCACACTTAATTGGCACCTATGTCCACGAGCAAAACAGACCCACCAGCTCCCCTTTCAACAAAGGCATTTCAAAATGGGCACATGTTCTTGGAAAAAAACATATTACAAGGATGATTGTCTCTACCTCCATGCTAGTATTGGGGTCAAGGTCATCACACTCTGATTCCTCTGAGCTGTTTGTCTCCTTGTTTGGCAGCATGAAGAGGAAGAAAGAGAACGAGATTAGAAGAGAGATTGGTTAGACAGGGCAGAGCATCACAGGAGTTGTAAGCAGCACGGAAATGGGTAACAGTACAGAAAATGCTCTCATAAAATCAAACAAAACCCAAACTGACAACAAAACAAGGGAAGCAAAGGCAAAGACATGCTTTTGCCAGAGAAGCAGCAGGGAGTCTGCACGTTGTTCACGTAGTAAAAACAGCAAGGAAGCAATGGGAGGAAGAACTGGCCACCATGCTGGAGCAGCTGCTTCCCTCAGGCCCAGTCCTTCCCCGGCTGGCAGTAGGGCTGCAGGGCGGCTGTGCAGTGGGTGCGAGGGCACCTGGGTTGCGGTGGCAGGGTTCCTCCCTTTGCACATGCCATGACTATTTCACTAGGCTTACAAGACTGGAAAGCCTCTGCGAAGGAAAACACTTAATCATGGGCTGTCCTGGGGAGGGGTGGATCCGAAGGACATGCTCAAGTGGTTTCCTGAATCAAGGCTGGACTTTGATTGTGTCAAAATCACAACAAGTGTTTGCTTGCCTCTGCTGGGAGGGAAAGCCCCAGATTTGTCCGGAGCAGGCCTCATGGTCGCTTTATAGGGATGGATCCTCTGAATTGGAGCACAGCAGTCAGGCACCCAGAGCAGAAGATGGAGCTTAACCCCACAGTTCTCAACCTTTTCCATACTGGGAGATCTCAGAGAAAGACAGACAGACACAGACACACACGCACACACACAGACACACACAAGACCCTCTCCTGGCAAGACAGATTCACCATCTCTGCACTGTCTAATAATATGGAAAGAAAAGGTCACTGAGACCATCTCCCCAGACCAAAAATCTTCAGCATCTTGAGGCTGAGAACCTCTTATCTTCGCATGTGGTGAAATACTGGCCTAAAGAAAACTCATCAACTTCAGTAAGGCCACTGGTCCACCCAGTGGCTTTCCCATCCCTGCAGCTGCTCTGATGGAGCTGTAGATTGGGCTAGATCAGATGTCAGTAAATCACTATTGTGCCAATTTTAAGAACAGTTATTTAACGATATGTACTGCTGTTTTTTAATGAAGATTACTTACTTGCATGTGGAATGCCAGGAAAAAAGAAAATTAAAAACAAAGGTTGCATTTTATCTTGCATGCAAAAATCCTGCTAAAATGGATATTACAAAAAAGAAAAAAAAAATCACCCCCCCCAAAAAAACCTAAAGTGGAAAAAGTCCCCAAACATAAAAACCAAAATAAAAACCAAACTCAAAATCACTGTCCCCTCTCCTCTCTCAGGAGAGGATGCTACAGAGGGTGAAAAGGATGGGAAGAAGGAGAGCAGCACACATCTTTCAGGTGGCCTTACTCACTTTAACTGAGACTTTGTTCCCCAGAATATCCTTGGATTTACGTGGCCCATTGGCTTCATTTTTGCCACTGCTCTCCTTTTCCGCCCGCTTTCTCATGCGCAGGGTATGCCATGAACATGACTTCCTGTTGTACCAAAAAACGCAGCAATCAAACAGCAAATCATAGCAGGAAGGAAGTACTTGGAAAGGGGAACCAGCATCCACATTTGCGATTACTGTAATTCCCTAGGAGGTGAAAGCCACTGGCAACGCGCCTATCTCAATCTGAGCAATGAGAGCTGAAGTTAAAAACCAAACCAAACAGTTCTGCGAAGCAGATGTTGTGCCACGCTTGCTGTTTAGATGTATGGAGAAGGAAAAAAATGTCCATGATGGAAGCAGACAACTAGAACTTGGTCATCTATTGTCTTGCATGGCCACAAATAGAAACCGATTTTATTTTTGCTACAGTTAAAAGGCCAATTTTGTCCTCAGTGTTGTTGGTTAAAAGCAGTAAATACAGGAGAATGGTCTTAATAGGTTACTTGGTAGAGCAAGTAAAATAAAAATAAATTAGAAATTCAAGGCTTTGCTCCCTGTATGTTGCTCAGAACATGAATAACTCAACAAATAGGAGTTACATGATTGAATTTCCAAGAGATAAGTAATTTCCTAGAACGACAAACTGTGCTGTGCCTCTCAAGACCAATAACTTCCCATTTGATTTTGCCAGTTCAGTTAGAGAGGACATCAATCAGTTCATGGGTTTTAGATAGCATCACAGCAGGCATGAATTCCAGTACATTTTTCTGCCCTCATTGCTGCTCTCACGACCTTACTCTTGGAAAAAACAGTAATAGACCATGTTGCCCTTTGTAAGAGCAATGCTGTGTTGACAACAGAAATTGCATATCAAGCAGACATAAGAAAATCAAGAAAAAAACAAAACAATTCTCAATATGGATTTCATTTGGTTTAAATAGTGGACAGGCTGGGAGAGATTTGGGGAAGGGGTATGTCGTCCAAAGCAGAAAGCTCTCAAAACAGCAGTGCAATGATCAAGGTTCAAAGCATCTGCCCACCTTTAAGTCATGCAAATTTGATTTGCATGTTTAAGCCCAATGTTTGGCAGGTCATGTCTACAGTACCTTGATACATTTTACATAGCAAGTTGCATGTAATCCAACGATCACCTGCGATGCCAATAAAACGCAGTATGTTAGCAAGGTAGGACTCAAAGGATGCCCCACACAGCCAATGCTCCCCCGTGAACACTGCATCTGATTCCTAAGAGGTTTTTGGTTACACGTCAGCACCTGGTGGGAGCTGTACAGTAGCTCAAATTAAACAAAAAAAAAAACCAAACCAGAACAAAAAAGTAAACTAACAGAACTGGCTGCCATTGACACAAGACTGAACTGGGTCATACAGACTGCTTTTGTAACCAGGATTAGGGTCTCCACTCAAAAAGCTGGCATGGGAAGTCATGTTCGAGGCACAAAGAGCACCGGAGCACCCTGCACATCTCAGCCAGACAGGGAGTGCTCAGTGATATTTGGGTGTTACTGAAGGAGGTCCAAATTAGATGTGCAGAGCAGCGGAAGTTATCCAGCAGTGCAGGACTGTTATGTTTTCCTTTAAGATATGGTAAGACTCAAAGATGTGGCTGGTGGCCTCCCTGATCTACTGGTGAATAATACATTGTGCCAGCACTACTGGATTGACCACATACTTTGTGTACAGTATTTGTCAACAGAAGAAACAGTTTTATTACTCATACTAATTAGTGAATATGATCTGGCAGACTATACAGGGCTGAGGGTAACACTAGCTCCAGGTTGTTTGTACCCATAGGACTTCTATTATTCAAGCATCTTTTAGGTTTCAGGATTGTTCTAGTTGTTTGAGTCTGAAAACATGATTTAAGACTTTAAATCTCACTGCTGTAAGAAAGAGGGAAGGGCAATGCATGTGTCTTTCAATTCTGTTATGCTTTCCTGGTAACAATTCATCCAACTACAGAATTTGACACAGAATTTGACTGTACAGTTGCCATGAAATCAGTGTCTTCACCAGGAGCCTGGTGCCGCGAGGGAATCTAAGGGTGCATAGCTGCATACTGTGGTTAGAGAGGAACCTGGGAATGGCCGTGGCGGGTGTGCAAGAGACGTGCTAAGCAATTCCTTTGCCTTAACATGCAATTCATTGTAGCATTCATTACTGAATGACTGGTAAAATCATAATTTCTCTTATCTGAAACCGCAGCAGAGATCAAGTTATTGTTTTTAGTGAATCTGTCAGAAAATCTTTCCTTGTGTTCAATTCTGCACCTCATGGTAACCGTGTAAGGTAACAAAATTTGTAGCATACATCATGCATTACCATCTAGTCATTTTAGATGTTAAAAGAAATCAACAGGTATTACTGAAAAGAGGGTTGTACCTTCTGTGTTTAATACCAAAAACCCACTTTCTTGCATTAGTCATTTCAGACTGACAAATTTCTAAAAATCAGAAAAGAAAAATATATATCCACACATTTGTTAAATAAACAACAAAATGCTATAAACAACAACAAAAAAAAGAAATAACAAAACCAAACCAAAACCAAAAGAGGGTCAAACTAGTTCTTTTACCTCATTAAAACATGCTCATGGTGAAAATTTATTTTACATATTTAAAATAGTACATTTAAAATTAGTTACATTACAGGTACAATGATGAACATTGCGACTATCCATTATATTGCACAACCTGACTTCATCAATTTGACTTTGTTTCTTTTTTTTTTTTTTTAAATAGTGCAAAATACTTTATACAGGAATGTACTTGTTTGGGGGTCTTGCAAACAAAAAATATATTACAAAAGTTACTGTGAACAGAAAAAAAAACCAAACCAAACCAAAATAATAATAATAAAAAAAAAGATACAAGCTGTACAAGGAAATTGCCATAGACAACAAAATCTCTCCTCCTTGAGAAGCAAACCTCAGTCCAACACAGGGCCTGGATATTTTTTGTGTTTCTTTTTTCGCTAGATGCTGTTATAACCAATATATAGATTAGTAACTTAATACAACATAAATATAAGTCCAGTCCAAGCAGGTCCATGTTGGTGTAAAATGTTGTAATGTAAAACACATCTTTAACCATCTATGGTTTTATTTCTCTCCAAAGTATAAACAAAACCCCACAAAATGAAAATAAGCAAAACCCAAGCTATCCACCATGGCTGCCCGATGCTGCAGATTGACCACTCAGCTTGTTCCAATGGCACTGTTGATAAAAATCAGCAGGAATTCCCTACCATTTGGGTTTGTTTATTTTGATTTATTATTTCTCTTTCCTCAAATATCCACATAGTGCTCCCAGCGAAGCCAACAAGCACTTACTTGATGCTTCCGTCGCTATTATCTGTAGTGGATTTAGTGAGGGGAGCCAAGATATTGCCAGGGATCCATCCTTCAGCAGCTGGAGAGTGATCGTTTGCAGGCTGGTACACCAGGAACATGTTCTGCTGGTTGATAGCAAGGATCTGAACCACCTCTCCTTGATTCACACAGATCTCATCCTCTTTCAGTGCATAGTAATCTTTAATCACCACCATGGAAGAGGTCCCATTGCACCCTCCCAAATCAGTCTGTGGAAATGGACACAACAGAAACCAGTGAGCAGGTGGTGCTCAGGAACCTGACTTTTCCAGCAGCAATCCCTCTACTTCATTTCCAGCCTAACTGTACCAGGGTTAAAAATACAAAACACTTCACAGTTCACATTGGTAGAAAAGGATTTTAAGGATCTGAAAGGCGGCAGTAATATGATACAAAGCAGGCTCCTATTTCATATTAGACTGCACAGCTGCGAGTGATGATGCCCTAGCCATGTTCTCATTTGTATGGTGTTACAGATGAATCATCTGTGCTGAGAGAAATGGGGGGAAAGACAAACGAAGGCTCAATGTTAGAAGCCGAATGAATAATCACACATCTCATGATCTTAAGTACAGGTCATATTGGAACATGGCTTTGGTCAACCGCAAGCAGCAGCAGGGTCCAAACACTGCTGATGGCTACTGACTCTGGCAGTTTGTGTGCAGTGCGCAGGCATTCAAATTATAACCTTCAACTGGCACCCTGTGAACTGTAACTTGGGAAAAGGTCTAACCTCTTCTACACCACCAGAGCAGACCTCTTCAGGAATGGGTGGTTAATGGATATTAGAGAACTCTGAATGTTGCTGCTGTGAGTACTGCAAATAGATATTGAGTTCACCAAGTCTGCAAACACAGTGGCTCTGTCTCCACTTCCCAGCTGAAGTACCACCCATCTGAATGCCAGAGCTTTTGCAGTCTGTTTAATTCCAAATCACATTTTACACCATTGCTTCAGTATGTTGATTCCTGTTGACCTGGTTAGCTGATAATTAAAGCTAACTTTACAGATGGTCTATGGTATAAGAAATGGGCTGTAAGATCATGTTTTATCAGATGAGCTCAGTACCTTGTTTTGTTCATAGCTGTCTCCTGGCTGTGACTGTTCATACCCTGTGCTGCCGTTGGAGGTAGATATCTTCAGGGGTGGAAGAGATGGGTTACGGCTTGTAGCCTTCAAAGGCTTCTCTGACCCTACTGGAACAGAAGAATAGGGTCTGCTGTTGGGCTGAGGGACCCTACCGGTCTGGGGCCTCAGCACTGCTGAGCTACTTTCTTTGCGTTGGTACTCTATGGGAGACTGTAGCGCTGCAAAAGAGGACAAGAATTAGCTGTATGCTTTCAATGCAAAGGGCTGCAGAACAGACACATGAACTGCAAACCAAACAGTAACAGGAGATGCCACCATGGAAGCATTTGGCATGTTCATGGCTAGACAGGATGCAAGCATGTTACACTGTACTACGTGTGACCTGAACACAGTACTCCATGCTACTGCAATGAACAACTTCTCTAACCAGCACAGTGGGCTAAAACGTCTGCCATAGAGCATACATAGAATCATAAAATAGTTAGGGTTGGAAAAGACCTTATAATCATCTAATTCCACCCCCCCTGCCATGGGTATGGACGCCTTACACTAGACCATGTTGCCTAAGGCTCTGCACAACCTGGCCTTGAACACTAGCAGGGATGGAGCGTAATTGCATTAATTTTCTTTGAAATAACAAATAACTCACATCCTGTAGTCAAAATAAATGAAAGCCTGGATAAAAGATGCATAGCTCATTTACAGTGAATTTTGCTATCATCAGAAAACACAGGTCAGGACTGTTAAGTTCCAGTTGCATATTCCCCAGAGAGTGTAACTACTAAGTACTCTTCAGACATAAGGCACTGCAACTTGGCTCTCTATGTACTTTCTATATTAACTACTTTGGTTCAAGGAAACTGCTGGAAATTACCAGTAAGTGAGAAAGTATAGATGGTATAAAGACATTAATCCTAGCAATACAGACCTCTCGAGAAAACACCCACAAGCAACACTAAACAACTTCATCAGCCTTTAGAAAAAAATCTGCTTGTGAGAGTGTGCTTTTCATAGCCATGCAAAGAGCTTATGCTGGGAGAAGGATAAAAATGCAGATGGTAAAAACAGAAGATATTTTTATGTTTGAAGGTGAAGGGATCAGGGCTGGGACTCACAGTGAATGGGAAAATGGGCAGATTTGCTAGGTCCAGACTACCATCCCCAGACCTATGGGTTTGTTTTTTGTATGTTATGTGGCTTTAATGGATGATATATAGTCAGTTAATACTGCGTATGTGCGCCAGACTGAATCTACTGGAATGCAGAGAGACTAGTCTAGCAAGAGGCAGACGGAGGACATAATGTCACAGCATCAGCCTAACCAGGGAACCACAACAGAAGGAATGTCTTTCACAACAAGACGAAAAGGAAAGAAAAACAGAAAGGCTCAATACCACACAGCATACTCTCTAGCATTCCCCTTCCAGGGAAAGGCAGGACTACTCCAACAAGGAATCACTCAATACTTAAGAATAGAGACTAAAAAAAAAAGAATAAATCAAGGAGGGTGCCATATTACCATTCTCTTCAAAAGGACACAAACATAGATCTGTAGCAATCCAGAAGATTACTTGGCTCCAAAATCTACACAGTGACTCCTGACACAAAAGTGCTTTGTATTTATGCCACAGTGGCTACACTGTAACTCAGCCACCTCAGCTGCAGCTGAGAATGGTTTGGTGCTGCTGCAGATCAGGCACAGAGAAAAAGGAAGGTTGGGGAGAACTCTGACAATGATTTTGACAATTATGGTGACAATCTTCTAGTATATACAGTACATTAAGCTGCAAGATCTTTAGCAGTAAGATCTTGATGAATACTTACTAATCTATCTTCAAACAATCTATCCCACTCAGTGCTTTTAAAGGGTATTTAGGCAAGTGTTCACTTTAACTACTAATTCCACCATAAACTATCACAGCAAGGCCTGGCTTCCAGCCTCCTGTTCAACATCTGTTAGTATTCTTACAAGCTTCTAGCAAAAATCACTGTCCACATACTTGCGTGCTCTCTTTCTCTCTCAAAAGCCCCCACAAAACATGATTTTTAAAAAAGTACAGTTCAATGGCATTTTCCTTATGAAATACAACCATCAGTGACTTATTCTCTTTACAGCTTGCTTCTTAGAGCAAAATGAAAGAACAGTCCCTACAGTCAATCATTTGGCACAGTTTGTTTCTCAAGCTCAGCAGCTTTAGCTTGTCCAAGGAAAAATATGAAAAGTTTGCATATTACAGCGGAATTGCACCAGGTTTTACATATTCATGAACTGTGGATGCAAATACTATGCTCTGTACATGGTGCCATACTCTAAACGGGTTCCCTGTTGAGGAGAGAAAAACAGAGACAGCTTGGGCAAGAACACACAGGGAATATTTTGTTATTAAGTTTATGCAGCATGGGCTCAGTGTGGATTTAATATGATTTTAAAGGCAGAAAACATCTGCTTTAATGAAATGCAAAGCTAAAGAACGTATTTAAAGATTAGTCAACCTCAATAAGATTACATCCTAAAAGCCACTTAAATTGTTCTGGACTGGAAAGGCTTTACTGGATGCAATATCATTTTCTTGGATCTTATTTATAGGTTTAAAAGTGAGTCCTTAAGCCTTTGTTTTAATATAAACCTATTTTTCCTTCTAGCTTCAGAGATACTGACGATTATGTTCCTAACCCATCAAATTCTTTGCCAGCCTCACAGAAGATAGGCTAAATAGGGGTTATGAAGATGCTTCAGTAGAAAAAAGGGTTCACAGGGCAGCAATTTCTGGTAGGATAAGAATAATGAGTAAGAAAGATGTGGAAGGGACAGAAAACCCCTGCACTGGTGTCTGTGGAGTTCTCAGTGTCTAAAAAAATTTCTGTACGTAACCATTGGTGGAACTTATTTTTATTCCAGTAATCCTTCATTTAAAGCCAAGTGCACTGACACAAAACCAGCAAGTTTTGGTACCAAATGGTCAAACTGGAGAATTTGAGACTGCTCAGCTCATCGAAGTATTTAATGAATCATTTTAGAAGTGGTTGTAGGAGGACCTTTCTATTGCAAGTCACAAAACCCCAATATCAAGTCTTGGAATCATGGGTGAAACTGTTTCCCTTCTCAGCTCAGCCACAGTTTTTTTAGCTGTCACAAACAGCTTTTGCATGCAATCCTTTCCCAGTTAACTTCTGAAAAGTGAAACTAAGCTGAATTAAAATCTAAAAAATCTCCATGGTGAAGAAAAGGGAACCTCTGTTTTGATGTGAACTGAAAGAGAATCTTCAGATTTTGCAACAGAAAAATCCACAAAACTGAACACCAAAAGCCAAAATTCAAAAACAGCTACCAGATTGTGCCAAGCCAAAACATTCCAATTAAAAAAAAAAAAAGCTTCATTATTGAATATGTATTAAGCTTTTAAATATAGGACTCTTTTCTAATATAAGATCTGTAAAAAAAGGCCGTTTTGAAATGAATAGTGCAAAACAACTTTGGAACTATCCAAAGTAATTATTCCCACTTAAACAAAAGAGATACTATTTTTAGATTTTTCTTGTCTAGTTTTGGTTCCTCCTCTTTCCCTCATCCGGTCATGAGCAAGAACAAACTAAAATTGTTACCTGAATTTGAGTCCTTTGCATTTTCAAAATACACACTTCTGTAGATCATGTGTGCTTGTTTATCTGTTCTTGGGGATAAGCCCTGCTCTGAGTTAAGTGGCAGACACTGTAGATACAATGGCAACCTGCCTTTGATATGGCCTTGGGAAGGGATCAGATTTAAAATCTCCCTGTAGAATGGAAAGCACCAGGTGATACAGCCCTGCAAACCCCAGCATTTTTGAAGTCTTGCACAAAAGTACTTCCAAAGAGACATCACTGATGGAGGAACTTGAGATCTGAACATGAAACTGACTGATAACATGCACAGCAACTGCATAGGGAAACACAGTCTTTTTAAGCAGGCAGCAGATAGGCTGGCAGAAACAGTCCATGAGATGCTGCTAAAGAAACCAGGCCAGAGTGACCTGCAGTCTTTAATGCAAGATGAGGTCCAGCAGCTTCTCAGGGTGGGCTCCAGGACTACAAGAGCAGTTCAGGTTAGGCTTGCCCAGCCCTCCTCCCATGATTCACCTTCTCATCAGGCAAACCTGGCATGCAGGACCTCTGCACAGTGGCACTGAGGTAGTCTCTTTCCAAAGACCAGCTGTAAATTACGATGCTTTCCCATGTACACTGTGGATACCACTTGACTCAGTGCTTAGTAACAGGCACACTGGGCTCCAGTTTTCTCCTTTATGAAAAATTGCTGAATATTTTTCTCATAGAGCAAACAAAGACACAAAGATTCCATACCCCACTCAGCATCACAGCTCGGGAAACAGAGCAAAATCAGGAAAAAGAGCAAAATGTACATACCATTTAGGAAATCTCTTTGTGTGTCCAGAACTTGGTTGATGTCCTGTACCCAAGCTTGCTGAATTTCTGGATTAGCTGCCTGTAAAATGACTCTGTCTGATGTTTCCCGGCTCATTAAAGCAAACTTGCAGGGATCATTGTCCACGTTTTCTTCAATGATAAGGTAGTTCATCTGAAACAAGCCAAGGTAAGCACGTTACATGGAGCATGAGTTAACATCACTCAAGAATCAGAATAAAATTATTGTGAAAAGTTTCTGAAGAAAACAGTCCAATAACAGACTGCCAGATCATCATCAGAAGAATTCGCCTCATTTAGGTTTAGGTAGATAGATCTTAAATATTATGCTTAATATGACAGAGGTACTAGACATGCGCCTGCCTTGTCTTGAATTATAACTTCTGTTTTAAGGTAACAGACCTGACTGATGTGCTAAAAATATACTGTAAGCCATAAATACAGTTAAAATGTTCATACTAAGATGTTAATAAAGTCTAACATTTCTCCAATTTAAATAAATGTTTACATTTCTTATCCTCCATGGAAAAGAAAGTCTCAGTCATCAGAGTATTTTAAAAATGGAATGGGCTGTGCACAGGGATATACCCAGAAAAAAACAAAACCAGCAATTCTCCCTTGATGCTTGAAAAGACCTTCTTCTTTCTAGCAGATTAGTCATGTGTGCACAATCACTTCACTTGTTTGCAGTCACAGATACTCTTTTTGAAATCTCATGGATGGCAACTTCAGCTGATGTCCTGCCCTTGTAAGCCCTCTGTTTAAGTGCACCCATAACTTTAACTTTTCCTAAGCTACTTATATCTATGATAGTAAACACGAATAGGTTGCCGCAGCCTTTCAAAAAAAGACTTCATATCAAAAGTAGACAGCTCCAAAGACTAAGGCAATAACATCCCTCTAGAAGTCTATCTTCAGTTGCTCTAAATATCTGTCAAGGTATGGAGAGATTCACTCTACATCTGAACACTGCTCCGGATTCAAACTGCAAGATGGAAGAAACCTCTTCCTTCTCTTCTGAGGGTCTCTGTGAAGTCAGAGGGACATGCAGGAACTCCTCTGACATGAGGTCAAGGAGAGACAGACAGTGAGTCTGGACAATGCCCTTCCTCTTGTTCTGAGCTTTTGCTCCTTTGATTGGTAGCCAAAGCAAGCAAGTCAATCCTGGTATGACTCCAGGAAAAAGATGACTTACAGGTCCCTAACCCATTTGTGTCTCAGGGAGGTGCATTTGCCAAGGCTACCCACTTAGGTGTTTACAGAGTCTGAAAGGTATACAAGTGAGAAGCATCCAAGAAGGGATGTGCAATTTCTGAATGCTAACTACCTCAGCGCATGAAGAAAGGTCCTTTGCTACTGTAGGACATCATGCTAAAGCTTCTGTCATAGTTCGAATGTGACAGACTTTGGAGAGCAGTATTTAGAAGCCTCATCTCCCTGACCAGAATGGCTGCATCTGAAGTCATATGTACTTGTTACTCTGACGGAGATACCTCAGTGCTTAGCAGTGGCTGTGACACAAAGGAAAGAAATGGAATATCTTATGCTGGCTAGGTCCTTCTGCTGTGTCGGAGGATGCAACCAGCAGGGAAACAGCCTCCTTCTCTCAGGAATGTCTCCAAGAGAACTGGACAACCATGACTGCAGATGGTATCCCAGCTAGCCAGAGATAACTACCACTGATAACTACCATAAAGAGGCATTCAACCTGCCCAGCAGGATCTTGTCAGCACTTGAACCAAGGTCAAAGAAACTTGGTCCTAGCTGACAGTATAAAATCCTCCTCAAATTCTGTCCCATAAACTCAGACTACATGCAGTTTCTGGATGACTACTTCTAGGGCAGGATTATGAAAGACAGGTGATGAGGCAGCTTGTTTATGTGACACCTTTGGACAAAGTGCTTCTTGCCAGAGAATCACCCAGCTGAGACTGAGGCTCCACTGTACGATGATGTCCAGGGCACAGAGAGGAGGGGAATGGTCCTGCTGTAGGGAATGGTCCTGTTCCACTGAAGGCCACAGCTCATCTCTGTGGGAAAGCATGGGAGAAATGCAAAAGCAGCCAGAAGCTGAAGTAGGGGCTGGGAGGCAGGGTGTGAGAGCTGCCGGCATACAGACTCCACGCTGCAGTGGGGCAGATGCAGATGGAGCCATGGGGGATCCCACACTTGCTGCAGGCACTCAACAGGAGAACAAGCTGTTTGCCAAATGGAAGAAAAGAGGAGCTGGAAAACTATCACACAAAAATTTTAAGCTCAGGCAGTGACAACAACATTACTTTCATGGGCTGTTTAAGTAGAAAAGCAACTCATACCCTTGAGGCAAGCTCATTTTATTGACATTAGGAGAAATTTATTTTTCTCTCTTTATCTACAATATACAATTCAGGGATTGTTTCCTGCAGATAAAAGCCTCATTGTTATACATCCAATAAACTGAAGAAAAAATTATTATTTCCATCTCCAACTTTAATAATGATTTAAATCAGCAGTAAAATAAAATCAAAGCTGATCATCTAAATCACGATGATTTTTTATTTGTACACTTTAGGTTTTTCCTTTATAGCTTATTATTTGGTTGGAAACTCTGAAATACACTGACTTGCAAATGGATACAGGCTTTTCAGTAAATGCTGCCATTTCTGTCAAACAAGATGTCCTCATTTCAGTAAATACGCTGTTTATCATAGATTTGTTTAGTTATACATAGTTAATACGCATTATTTCACCTGATAATGTTCTCTTCCCTTTCATATTAATGTACCATTTAAAATTTAGAGCAAACACAATGCATTCTCCCACATCTTTTTTTTTTAACCAATTTGGTGGTTAAAATCAATCCCAGACTGCTTTCTCAGCTTCGAACAATCAAGACATTCAAATGGAACAGTGGCTTTGCTCTTTCTGCAGGCACAGCAAAGGTTGTTCTACCAGAAGTGCAGCATTCACTTACCTTCACTTACTATTTCAGAGGTTAACTTTGCATTTGTCAAACAAGAATAAAACCCCTTAAATAAACAAATAAGTATTTTCGCTGGCTACTTTCAGTTTTCACTTTTAGCCCCAGCCCCATAATGTGGAAAGATTATTTAAAACCAAAATTAATGTCTTAAAACTTTCTTTATAGTTTAGCTGGTTTTATGATTCCTCACAGCTGCATTTTTAGAACTATGTGTGGCTTTCTTTGGTTTTGAAATAGTTCTGTCTTCTTGCAACATTCACATCTGTACTGAGAGCCCTCCCCCAATATGGGAGATTATTTCCTGTAATGTCTCATAGAGGCTTAGTATTTACTTACAATTTGGCCTAAGATGACTGTTCTGGATGCTACACCTTCTCCTACCTTTTATGATCATGCTTAAATCAACAACTGTATACTTCCTTTGACTACTATAGGCTTTTGTAGTAATATTTGCTAACTCAGAGCTATGAATGACAGAGGACCTGCCCTGACTGTTCCTTGTAAAAATCATGCAGTAAATTTAGACACCCAGTGTTTTATTTGAAAATGGTCTTAAACAGCTTCTGATCCACTGAAATGTAAATGCAAATGTTTTCTGCAAATTGTTGTCCACCTATGACAGGATGGACCAATCTCAGCATAGGTAAGTGGCAAACTTATATGAGCATCAAACAGAACATGCCTCTCCCTTCCTATATCTATCTTACCTTTATGCTTTTCTTGAACATGTAGCCTGGAGTTAAAGATCCTTTTCTAAGGAGTTCACTGAAGATAACTATTTGCTCGAAGAGAAACACCCTACGCTCCTTTGGTCGAGACTGAACTCCAGAATCCTGCTCTGTCACGTAGAAGGTGTCCTGCTGCAGCAGCTTTCCTTGAGCTGTCAGCTTGCCCTGAGAAGAAGGCATGGCACCAACATTACAAACCCTGACCCACCATGATCCTGCAAGACAATCTACATTGCATGCAGTCCAAGTTTTCCAGGCAACACTGAATACATGTGAGACATATTTCCTGTAAGTTATCAAAGCAGCAATCTTGTAAATCTTGAAAATAACAGGTTTTCTTTGTTCTCATTGCTATTGATTGTGCATATAAAACCAAAAGCAAGAGATCTCAAGTAGACTGTTTTGTATACTTCATTTCAAACACCATTCCCATTATGTAGTTTGTTATTGTAATGTGTCTTGAATTCCCTCTAGTCATGAGCTCTCCATCACTCCCTAAGCCAGTAGTCAACGACACAACACCTAAGGTACAGAGAAACAGGACCTACCTGTTTGCAGGAATGCTACAATGCATAAGATAGTAAGACAAACTTGACTTTATTTTGGAGATAAGACATCTCACGAAGACTGCCAAAGTCTGTTCTGGCTTAGTTACAAACCACAAGCCATAACCTGTGGGATTATAACTCACAAGTCCCCTCCTGGATGTTGCCAAACTCAGAGGGAGCTGTTAACATGTTAATGCTAGGTTACCTTACTAACAGTCAGTGCAGTCTGGGTCACCACTTATTTTTCTCTGGCAACAGATACAAGAAGTTTAATTCAAGGTTGCTGAAGCTGTTACAGACCTCACATTTTGAAGAAACAACAGGCATATTGTCACAAGTTTAGAGTGAGAGGTATACCACCCCCACCTTCAAAACCTCACCAAAGGATGCAGCTCAGCACTGGAGAAGAACAAGAACTAGATAAACAGCCTGGTGTAGGTCAGATTGTAGAGACAATCATAGAAAGATAAAATACCTTTTCTTCCCTAGTTGTTATTATAAGCAGAATGCAAATTCATACCTCAAAGCCTTGGAGGCGGCCCAGGTTCATCATATCATTGCAACGTTTCGGTACAAGGCACATTAATTCAACCGCTTTCTGTTAAGGAAAAAGGATGTTGTGTTATTACAAGAGGATCAGAGGGTTTCTAAAAGCAAAATGTCAAATAATGAACTTCAACAGTGTGATAGCAGTTATTCATGGTGAGGCCCTCATGCACTGAAGATGTACAGTAGTGTCTAAAAGAGGATGGTGCACCTACAGTGCAGGACTGCACTTTCATCTTTTACTTCTGACAAGCTAAGAGAAATACCACATTTAGAAAACCAGCAGGATCTTCAGCTATTGTCAAATATTGGAGTTTTCTTTCCTGCATATAAAGTGCCATTAGATAACATAGCCTTATTGTCCAGGACACGAAAATGTACCTCTATATCGGAGCACTCCAGACCAGCTTTTTCACTGTACCTCAGGAAGTCCTGGAGAAAGCAGAAAGGTTTGCATTAAGGCACTTCAGAAAGAGAAAACAAAAGATGTTGGAAAAGCACATTCAGCATGAGATGTTCTGAGAAGGAACTGCTAATATTAATAAATTCATCTTCAGAGGTTGCTGAATGGTATAACCACTTCTGTAGATATGGAAGAGGGGTATGGACGGTTACTGAAAACATCATAATAAAAAGACAAAGCTGGGATTAGCCCTTGGGAATGCTTACTTGGTCTCTGTCTAAAGCCACAAGACCACACACACACACTTGAAGATTTTTCTTTTCCTTTTGGCATTTCAGAGAACATGCTGCTGTGTCTTTGCTAGTGTGTAATTACCAAACTGTGGGCTGATGGTATCTTGCTTGAGACTAGCCCAAAAAGGAGAAGAAACCAGCTCAGCACTCTGATACTGCTGGAGGTTACAGGTAGGGTTCAGACATTTAATTTTAAATATTAGCTTGAGACCGTTAGGGATGAATTTTCAGAGATGCTGAATAACTGGCACTGTACATAAGTCAGCAAGAGGCCAAAGTGGTCACACTCCCTGGGAAAAAATTGCAGTGAGCACCTCAGGTTTTCAGACAGCAGAATATTCTGGAAATAAGTTTCTTATGCTAATTTGAAGAGAGCTATTTAGAAATGGAGGCTATAGCATTTATTAGAAGAATACCATTCAGCACCAAAGACACGCTTTATTGACACATCTTTACTGCAATTAGAAAAACCCTAGTTTGCTCTGAAACTTTACAGTAAGAAAATTCCCATTTGAAGTTCACTCTTCTAGAAAAGAAAATCCAATAGAAAAAAAAAATGTTTTTATCATCCTACATTGTAAACTGCTCCCACAGATGTGGCCTGCCTGCTCCCTGGACATTTTCCATGGGACTGTGTCACTGTACGCCCATGCTTAAGCAGACTCCTCTTTTCTCTTAATTTGATTAAGTTACTCCTCATTTAAAACTAAGGCTAATATAAAATAATTAATTCAAAATGCAGTTTAGCCTAAATTGTATCTTTCCACTCACCTTGAGAAGAAGCTGATATTTAGTTATTCTTTGAATGGGTTTGATGAGAAAGTCACTGATGGTCAGCCGTTGGCTAATTTCCTGTTGAACCTCCTAAAAATTAAGGATTAAGAACAATTGCAAATAGTCACAGAGTGAGACAGAGAATATGATAAAGTATCTTAGCAGAGACTTACTTCCACAGCAAGTTGGTCTGTTCTTAATCTTTTGTTTGCAAGAGGGAATTTTAGAGGATTTAAAAATCTGGCATATCCTATTTAGGCAAGGACTGGGCAAAAGTCATGAACAAGCTGGAAGGCATTGGAAAGCACAAGGTCCCTTCCCACTTTGAGCTGACTGAGCAGGACTGCAAGGTCTGGAGACTACTTTTTCTACTGCAGTGGGGATAAGCTCACAGACAAGTCCTGCAGAGCTGGCCTCATGCCCTTGGGTGAAACGAAACATCTTTCCCTTGTTAAACTAACTTCTTTCACATTAATATCTAAATATGCCTAGTCCAAAGATTTCTTGAAACAGACAAGGTTATTGGGAATTTATGACAGGCACCATCCAGATCCAACAACTTTTACCTCCTCCCTGTTTATAGACTACAGATTAAAAAGTCTTGTTTTATTTTGAAGAGATATCAAGGCAATTGTGGCACTCTGAGGGCCACAGACAGTTAGTACTGGATTAAATATTTATTATTAATTAACAATATGAAAATTTGAAATAGATTAAGCAATAACATATTTTTTCTCCATAGCAGAGACTTTAGCAGCACATGCAGTATCAAAATCTTCTACAGCTTGTTTTCAGCAAACCCCACAGGTTACAGAACAGTCTACTTGACTAGGACTCCCAGCTGTAAGTAGCAGTAACGTATGAGCTATGCTTACCTCAAAGTATGCCTCATACTCAGCTACTATATATTCAGATCGTGGCTTGTTTTGGCAATATACCACATACATGTGTAATCGCCGCTCCTATGAAAGCAAGAGGCAGCCTGGTGAGATATTGGCTATCATCTGTTCTGTTATTAAAAGCTGGCAGAAATTTGCTATCACCTTCTGCTTGATCGTCATTACTTTTTGTTTAATCAAAGATTTAGTTTGCTGAAGTAGGAAAGGTAAATTGGTAACTGGTTCCATTCTCCACTTCTGCACCTTAGGCAAGGCGAGGTTTCCAGGGGGGTAGCCAGTTAGAGATGTCATCCCCACACTGGTAGGTCTGAAATTTCCTACAGAATTGTGCTCTAGCTAATATCACATAAACATGTCAATCATAGCATTTGGCAAGTACCTGCCATAATTATATTTTGGCAGATGTCCGTGGCCACATCTATTTTTCCCCCAAATAAGAAGTCTGCAAGAAGGCAATGATTAATGCTTTAGTTCAATCCAGCTGCTCACTGAAGATGCATTAATTATAGGGATACTTAAGTTTAGACATGTAAAAGTATCAAGTCGATGCAAACAGATGTTTTTGGAAATAAGTCATCACACCCTAGGTGACAATTATACTAGTGATAGGTAACAAAATAAAACTTACATGCTTAATAAAAAGCTGTGCTAAACGGTCAGGTTCTTGAAGACATTTTTCTAGTTCAGCCAGGAAAAAGCTGAAAAAAAAATATCAGCGTTTAAGGATACTTCTTTAGGCCATCCCAGCAGCAAGCTAGCTGTCCTTCAGATATATTGGTGCAATTTTAGCTAGAGTATTCAATAATAAATGAGAAGATAAGCTTGGCTTCAGCCCTTAATGGTGAGATTTCTAAAACATTAGATGAGAGCTGTGATATGTGGAGGTCTTCCCTTTCAAAGCTACCTGCTCTTCTTTACTATTACAGCAGTTTCAATTTTCAAGAAGTGCCAATTACTATCTAGTTGCTTCCATTTACTGACAACTCCCAAAGTAAAACTTTTCCAAAATGTTTGTGAAAACTCAACTGAAGCTTTACCAGGAGTTCTCAGTTGCATGAGCGTATTTGGAGTACCGGTCAATGTGAAAGAGATGCAGAAGTTTCTTCTTGAATAAACACATCAACGTGTTTTTGCTGGTAGAGTTTTGGTATGTTCTGGTTTTCAATGTTTTTCAGTATATTACTAACAGTAATATACTGTAATTCATAACAGTAATTCATAAATACTGTCTCTATCTTGACCTGCCCTTTGGGGATGTAATTCATTCTAGCTTGAATGTCATTCCTTACCAAGAATATACTACAATGCCTAAAAGTGAGGTAAAAGCAGCTAAACTGAACATTAGAGATACCGGTAGGTTTTTCTAACTGGTAGGCAAGTCCTGACAACCTCCCTTTCCATGATTATCCTCCTTTTTCACTGCAGGATTTCTGTCACAAATGCCTCCATGGATTTGCTATAATAGCCAGACTTGGTGAGAGGACATGCTTTCAATGGTCTGGTCCCAAGAAATCCCAGAACCCCCCAAAAAAGATGTATATTGGAGAGCTGTGCCAACTAAACATCCCTATTGCTACCATCAGATACAGCTGCTTCCATAACTCAATCCTCCATAAATATTAAATTCATCTGCATTTAAGCAGACTTTTTGACCCAGATATGCAGAACTAAAAATAGGGAATCACTCTTCATGTGTTACAGAAAACTCTTATCATCACACTGAAACAGTGAGTGGCACTGGTGAAATCACTCTGTTGGTGGTATCAACCTGATACATGGCGAAACTTTTTCTGACATTTTTTGTTTTGTGCTCACAGGGCATTTGTCAGAACATAAGGAGAGGCCCAAGCCATGAGATAAACACCTGTGAGACACATGATGGGAAGGATACTGTGTTTCCTGCATAAGGGAAATGTCCAGAGCTGAAGATCCAGCCTGGTGTCCATTGCTCAAGTCTTCACATGCATGCTCAAATTCTAGTTAGCTGGAGCTGTAGAGTATTTCTGAGTGTCAGAGTTGAAATGATAACCATATTGTCCATAAGCAACATTGCTGTTCTTAAAGTTACAGGGAAAATGGTCCAGGGTTTTAAATAAGCCTTGTGTTTCCTGCAGCTTTCTGAAAGCTATTTGTATGAGTAAGGAAGAGAGCTCCTAACTCAGACTCAAATTCATCAACTAGGCCGAAGCATGTCAGGGTTTTCATGTGAGAAGTATCTTGAAGGTATTCAAGCCCAGGCTGGACAGGGCTTTGAGCAACCTGGTCTAGAGGAAGGTGTCTTTGTCTGTGGCAGGAGGGGTGGAACTAGATGATCTTTAGGGTCACTTCCAACCCAAACCAGTCTATGATTCTATGATTTACATTTTATCACCATACTAGCCAAATACTACTGGTATGGTCTCCCTTCACTATCCATTCAGCCACATGTGAAGATGTTCATACTGCTGAGAACAATGAGACAGAGGAAATAAACCACGTCTTTCCAGCATTGCTACTGCTCATCAGTGGGACGAATTGAACCTACATCTGTGACCCAAGAAACACAATTATGGCAGCCTCAGTAGCTTTTCTGAGGATCCAGCAACTCTCTGGGAGTCATGTTGGGACTACTTATGAGCAGTAGCTCAGGAGCTATGGATGGACCAAAATGATATCTCCCTTGAGCCTCTTGTGGCTCCCTCTTCCTAGCAAGGAATGGCAGAGCCGCTGGCAGCACAGCACTGACACAGAGCAGACTCTCTTGGGTATAACGTTTTTGTCACACTGACCAGCACTCCTGGCGTGGTGTTTCAGCCAGCATAAAGCTGTATCTGTGATCAAAGACAGCATGAAAAACACTCTTCCATGAAGCCAGCCAGTGCAAAGCTACAGCCCATCAGTTTTTGTCACTGGGAGAAATGATTATATGCAGGACCAATGCTTTGCATCATGCAGTTGTGCCAGTTTTGATTGTGTAGACAAAGCCCTATACTGGGATCTAGTGTGTTGTGAAACTGTGGCTAAAAGAACATGAATTAGAACATGTTCTCAGGAGTCAAGGTAGCCATGATTTGTGAAGCTATTAAGCAGCACTTACAAACCAACAGAGATCATTTAAAGTGAGGCAACGTCCTTTGGAAGTTCAGCCCTGAATGACCTGCTGATGTCCAATTAAAAGCAGCTTAGACATACAGACATCATAATACCCCAATCCTTTATAGATGAGTGGCTAGAAAGGTGCTTAAAAAGGAACTAAACAACAAACTTACTCTTTGTGCCAGTCATAGATCTGGTGAATATTGCCAAATACAATCTTGTCTTTCCCCTTCATATCCTCAGAAACTCCTTTTTCTTCTATCCTCTTCATGAAGCCCTTTAGGATTAATGACCAGTGATTAGTAAAGGGTTTGTATGAAGGGGGGAGCATAATTACACTCTTTTCAAAGAAGCAAAAGTTTAAGGTCAGGATTTTTTAAACTGAAAATAGTTAAAATAGCTTTTGCATAATTTTAAACCAGAAACCCACCGAGATACTTTAAATTACACAGTTTGCTTAAAATGGAACTTTAAAGGATTTATTCTGAATATCTACAATACTTATACAAACTGTTACTAGATGAAGTGACAAGTGTAATTAGGACATAAAAGTTAAACAAAAGTAGTTTATCAAGCTCTTGGCTTCTCTAGAAGAGAGGGGGAAGAAGACAGACTCTGTACAGATTTCTTCTATTAATCGCCAGGAGTATTTTGTGGGAGCATAAAGCCAAACAGAAAGTTTAAAGAGCCATGTGAACAGGATTTGTCCCACCTCCTCAGAGTTTCTTTACATGCCTTTAGAGTACTGGAGCCCAGGTTTGCCAGTGGTTCAAGTTTGGAAGCTGTTGAAAATCACTGTTAGATGGGCTGATAATTCTCCCTGGACTAGTGAATGCCAAAATCATAGCTGAAAGCCCACTTTAATCATGTGTCTCCAGTTTTGAGTCCCTGCTGGGAAAAAAACTGGACCCTGCATGTGAGCTGGCTCTGACAGATGATTGCTAGCAACCAGCCAGGTCTTTACAAGTTGAAGCTTAAAAGACTGATTTATCTCAAGTTGGTTTTGGGTTTGGTTTTATTTTTGTAAAACAATAATCCACAGTTGCACTTCAGCACAGATCCAAACACAGCTTCTGCAAGGGTACTCAGACACAGGACTTCAGTCCAGGTGCAAACTTGAGTAAAGTACATGTTACCGCTACTCAACGTGACAGCAAGAAAACGCACACAGTAAGTGGTAGGAGCATAAGTTATTCTCCACCACTGCCATCCAGGCTGCATTATGGCAGAAAGAGTTTGTCACAAGCAGGGTAGCCAAGAAAAACCTTTGTACACTGGAGTTGAAACCTAAAATACAACATTTGTTAGATGGAAACAAAAACAGTTTCCAAAAGCATTTCTTCTTGTTTCTGTCAACATGAGAAGGGGACCATGGAAGCAGAGTGCAAAATAAAGCAGTTTGTTTCTCATGCTGTACTTTTTGTTGTTGTCACTTGTCAGCATGGTGCTTTTTAGTGGGAAAACATTTTGCATAGAAGGGTTTGCTTCAGCTCACCTCCACAACAGTTCCCAAGTCTTTGACGTAGTCTTTTTCAGTCTGTACCAGCTCATTTAAGACAAACCTAAATTAAAACAGAAAACACACATATTTGACCCTATTCCTTGATGTTACTGTTTGCTCCTCTTATCACATATTACCTCTCATGAAACCCTACTGTCATCCAGGTCATGTAACACAAATCACTCTTCTCTCACAGCTCAGTGGAATGGAAATGACAAAAACATCACATTTCAGGTCAGAGTAGTTCCAATTGTCTTAACCACTCTTTCCTCCTATCCCTCTTCCCCCCCACATCCCAGGGTGCTGCAAGAGCAGCAACACAACCAGCTGCCTGTACTTTGAACTACCTCTCCCCACTCCCCTTTCCTCCACCCCCCATGCAGCACCCCTGACAGCAATGGAAATGTGTACTGACTCATTCTGGGAGAGGATTTCTTGCCCCAGTCCCTCTGGCTTTGGCCAGGTTTCAGCAATTAAGTTTTAATTTAGCAGTTTGAAACACTTGGAAAACAAATCCCATCTCCCATCATAACCAAGAGCTTAATCTTTCAGACTAGGTAATCTATGTGTGGGTGTCAAATGCTTTATGTTGATTTGAGAGCTAATAACCCCTGTGTAGGAGAGTAATCTAATGAAGGCCTCATGCATGTAAACAACAGCAAGCTAAAAAAAGCTCCTCCTTTGTAAGTCAAACTGATTAATCACATAATGTTCTTTCGAGGACAATTTCAAAAAGTTACAGCTTGCTGCAGACAGTTTGCCTCTCAACTACGCCAAGACATAGATTTGGCACGTGACAAACTCCATCTGTGCTCAAGTTCACTGCAGCAGTAACAAGGCTAACAAGACAGAGGGATACTTTCTTGTCTAATATCACTCCATTCACATCAGTCAGCAGACTGAAATAAAAAGGCTGAGGGCAAACAGCACTAAGATAAAAACCTGGTTGAAAATATTGGGGCGGATGAGGAGGGAAGTAGACTGGCCTTGCAATGAGAGAATCAGTTACAGGAGGTTACTAAGAAGATAAATCCTGCTCCCACCGTGCTCCCAACATGTCCCTTGCTCGGACAGAGCAGAGGAGATTTGTAAGACATGTGGCAGGAAGAGGTCAAACAGCTTCTTGTTCATTTGAGAGTGAAATCCAGCCCCCTTGGCAGAAGGGAGGGCTGGCAGCAGCTATGCCAGATGCTTTTGCTCACCAAAGTGCCCTGCCAAGTTCTGTGCCTGGGTAGTAAACATGCATGGGGCAAAAGGCTGCTCTTCTACAGAGCAGCAGCATGTGGCCTTAGCAAGTGTATGCTGTACAATCCCTCTAGCTGGCTGACCTACCGTGCCCTTGCAAAAGGCTTGCCGTGTCTTCTCTGCCCGGGGAGGCATGCTGGGAGGTTACTTTCTGGCTCCAACCACCTCAGCCTGTATCACTCCCCACAGACACAGAGAGCTGCTGAGGGAATGGGGAGAACCTCTCCCACCTGCCCACTGACACTCCTTTGGTCTGAGGTACTGCAAGGGCCCACCTGGCAAAATCCTGCTCTAAAAATGAAGCAGCTGGTACCTGTAGTACATAATGCTGCACGACATGTGCACAGGTGGGTGTGAATTACACATCAGTGCAGTGACCAGGTGTCTGTCTACCAGGTGAACAGACCAAACCTGCAAATTTACACCTCTATTAGAAACCAGGGTCTGCACATCGACTGCTTACCTTAAACTCAGCACCAGTATTTCCCCAGCTCCCCTCTTCTAACAGCAGAAAAATCAACCTTGACCATCTCTATAAGTTCTCTGCAGCCTACCTGACACGGTACCTTAGAGGTACTCCAAAATTTAAGATTTCTAAGATGCATGATGACCAAATTTTAAGTTCACTCATCTCCTCATCTGATAACATGAAGCAAGGACACGCAGTTGCTTGGGAAGTGCCTGCCCTGTTCACCAGCATGTATTAACTACACAGCTATATTTAAAATGGCATGAACTGGAACAATGGTAGAGCCTCCTCACTTCTGAGTATCTAGATATCTTTGTAATATTGTATTAAATTTATACTGAAAAACACTATTCAACGAGACTCTTGCCTTACTGCTCGTAGAAATGCAGCACTCAAACCTGATGGATTTGGGCTTTCTGAACACCAGGGCTAACTGCTGGCATGCGCATGCTGCCCATGCCTGTACAAGGATTCAGCTGCTGTTTTGTGGGCAGTGGGGGCTCACAGCTTGAGTTGGAGCTAAGCTGCCTCATATGGCTACGAAATTAAATCCAGCGAAGTACAGAACACAGACACATAGGAGCTAAAAGGGAGACAGATGTCTTGTGCTGAAAGCCACTAGCAGGTGTTCCTAAGCATCCTGATGTTTAGGAAATCTGGATGTAGGCAGTCACTAATTACACCTAACACGCTACCAGGCCCCCCACCAGAAGCATGGCATGCTAGAAAGCCTTACTGTATCTATGCCTAGAGTGGCAAAGGTCTCTGCGCTAAAACTGCGACCTGCAGTTAGTTGCCAGTTATCTAATTAATGAATTGCTACCAGAGAAACCCGAGAACTTGCAATACTGAGAGGCTTTTAGGAGACAGCTGTGCGTAGAGGTGGTCCCTGCAGGAAGGCTGATGGCTCCCTAGCAGAAAACTTCTCCTATTCTGAAACACACCTAGGAGTGCCATGTCCCTGCCTGCTGCTGGGAGTTGACCAAGTCCCTCATTGTATTGCTTCTCTGGCTTCCTACAGCAAACTACGGGAGCAAATGATGGCTTTCACAGTCCTCCAACACTGCTCCTACTTCCTCTTCTAGTTTTAACAACTTTCTTGTTCTCCCCTGATTTGGTTTCCTTCCCCACTTGGCAGCTTTCCCAGATGGGCTGCTGCTCTTCCACCTCTTACCTTCCCACACTCCAGTGAGACCTGCATGGACCACTACTTTTCCCTTCAATCTGCCATTGTTAATGTAAGGGGCAGTACGAAGGAAACAGCTACCTCAGCTCTCCTTCATATAATTCTTGATTCTACTTCTCCAATATCTTTCAGCTGAACTATGCATTTAAGAAATGCTTTGATCATGATAAGCTTTGAAGGCATAAGTGTTATTTTTTGTTACATTTAAGGGAGTGCACTGGTAATGTAAAAAAATAACCAAAAAACTTCCGGAAGCTGTCACCATTCCTTTCCCCTCCAATTATAATGAACGTGAGGGTTTCCCAAATGAAACTTCCTCTTCAGTGGTGTGTTTCCACTACAAAGGCATCTGAATTCTGCCCCACCTTTGCTAATAACTAAGGTAAAAAAATATTCTCTCATTGAAAAAATCCTAGTGGGATTCTCTGTTCTTTTGCTTGAGGGTAGCTAGCAAGGTTAACCACATATCCTCATTTAAGAGCTGATTTTACCTCTGGCAATGCAGTAATTACCAAAGTAAGTATCTCAGTAATACCTGTCTAGCTGTTCAGAGGCTTTTACAGGAACAGGTATTTGCTATCTGGTGTAAAAGCTGTACATTTAAAAGCGTGATGATGAACTTCCTGGGTGTGAAAGGGCTTTTTAAAACTATTTTTACAGGTTAAGAAAGCAAAAGCAAGCAGAACACAGTTTTACTCTCAGTTCCATGCTCATTCACTGACTACAAGGTATTTTTTCAGTGCAGCTATGTGTCCTCCTTTGGTGCGTATTTCAGAAAGACAAACTAGCAAGACAACTTACATCCTGCCTCTCATTGCTTTGGCTTTTTGTTCCTCTTCAAGGTTTCGTGGGGGAGTTGTAGGTACCATTCCTTCACTTAAGCAGCCAGTGGCATCTTTTAAGCTTCCTCGATAAGATCCTCCTTCAAGGGTCTAAAAAAGCCCCAAAGAACAACAGAATAAACATTATCCTCGAACTCCAGCATCACTGTTATCTTCTGTTTCAAGTCAGTTCTGCAATCAACACTGTAGTCTAAAACCAAGCAGAGTATTCAGCAACTTTCCTGCAAGACTTAGCAAAATACAACAAAACTAGTTTTAAGTTGATGTAAGACACCCACTCCCAAAGCATTAAAACAGACAAGATGTCCTCTGGTAGAAGGTGGAAAAAAGATGTTCCAATAGCCACAGGATGAGAACACTCTTCCAGTTTCAAAACAACCTGAAAATATCATGGTGTCTCAGTCAGAACCAGCGTTAGGCTACACGTGGTCAGCGTTTCTCTGCCAAAGAGTAGATGAGGACTTTTCAACAGTAAAGTAAAACATGAAACAGAAACAGATGGATGCATAGTAACATTCCAAACTAATTAGTTTCCACCAAATCCCTGGAAAGTAATTGCAAGTGACCTAACAGCCTGCATGCAGGGGGGAGAAAATATTTTCTGAAAATACATCTAACTGGATTAATGAAATACGTTTCAATTTGTTAGCTCCTCGATGGAATAAAACTATTTTGAGTAAACTTTCTGGGAATGTCCGTCTCAGTTTCCCATGTCTCAAAAGAGTTTCTTCACCACTTACTCCTTATCAAGCACCCTATGAATGCTTACTAGCTTTATGTCATCTCAACATTTCGAACCAAGAAAATACCAAAACCCTCTGAAATGATCTGACAGATAAAGCTACATGCAAAGAATTACAGTAATTTAATGATCAGCATGGGGCCTTTTCTTCCATTTTTACACTCTTCATCCTTCCAGTATATGTAAGGAAATGAACCTTTGCAGGCTCATTATAACCCTGCTTTAGTCCTGACTAGTTAATTAAGTTAAACTTGCTCAAAGCAAGCATTTATCTAGTTTTAGAGGTCCTGGGACATGTACAAAACATGTTTACCTTTGATATTAGCATTTTGAACTGTTTCAGGGAAAACTTAAGAGAAGCCAAGATAGAAACAGGATTTACTCCTTGTCCAACAGATGCTGGACCAGACACGAAGAGCACACAGTACTGAAATTTTTTAACAAATTAAACCCAGAACATTCTTATTGCTTACTCCACTCCCTGTTAGAAAGAGTTGACAAGGCAGATTAAAAGCGACACAAGAATCTTCAGAAAATGAAAGCACAGCTGTGATACTTCAGGCAGTTCTACTCTTTAGAGAGTCTTTTCAGGGAAGGCAGAATACCAAGCAAGCTCACATGTTGGGTAGTAGAACTCCTGTGCCTCAGAATAAGCTTTAAAACAAAACAAACAGAACATCCCATTGTGTAAAATATCTGAGTACCAACAAGACCCCAGAAAGAGTACAATACAGTACCTCATGTTCTGCAAAGCCCACTCCAGAAGTGTGTTTTGACTATGCAGTGCAGAGTCCACATGGCAAGGTGAGATACAGGCTTCATCTCACATGAGGAGTTAAAATACTAGACACACTACTGAGAAGTAGAGCATGTAGGGTTAATAAAAGCATAGCAGGTGAAGGTGGAAAGCAAGGAAACCAGAAACAATAGGCAGACTTTAAAGCCCTTCCCTAGAGTCATATTAGGCCTGTTGTGCACAAAGTTTTCACAACACTAAACTTACCAGCTTACTTTTGACCAACTTTTCTATTGCACTGACAAGATCCGCAGCAGCTGGGACATCGGAGGAGCTCTGTCGAGCAGCTAGCAAAGAAGAGGACTGCAAGACACCAGGTTGCAAAGGAAAAGCAAGTTAGCAGGATGAGAAGGGAGGAGGAAGCCAGCAGTCAGTGAAGCAGCTTCTGAGACAGGAGAACAAATGTGGAAAGGGAGCAGGAGGGTTGGAGGACCATATGCATGGTCAGGTGAGGGGGTGTTGCTGTTATCAGGCAAGCACAGAATTGCCACCCGCTTCTGGCTGCACATCTCCCTGCAGCAATTCCAAGGCTGGGAAGAGTGTCAAAGAACAGATATTCATTTGCAAAAAGCTACAATACTCTTAATGTCTGTTGGTTCTTCCTTCTAAGTCATCTACGGTCTCACAGGCTCCAGAAAATTGATCTTCTTACTGTGGATGTAAGAAATTACTCCTCCCCCACACATACGTATTTAATAAATGCAGGTACACATGGAGCTACAGGCAATAGAGGAAGGAGGCAGGGGGAACAAATCATTCCCCCTTCCTTCCCCACATATCAATTGCAACTCCAAGTGAACTCAGATGACACCTCCCATTCATGCAACTTTAGCCATCTAAAATGTGTATCTTTCCTCTCCCTGCTCTTCAATCAGTGGAGAGAAAATACCCCTACATATCTCACCTATCTTAGCTACCTGGCACAGGAGGGCAGAAACGCTCCTTGGAGATGCTTAGTTTTCCCTATGGACTGTAGGTAGAATATTTTCAGTCTCACTTCTCTATGCCTGTCTGTTAGCTGCAGGTGTTCCATTTTCAGTGCCTGGCATCATGTAATGTCTTTGGATATCTCCACATCCAGGCAGACACAGCTAATAGCTGTTGGCTGTTACACATCCCCAGAAACACCAAGACTCTTCAGTGTGGTAGCCTAGCACCTCCCATGGTGCTGCGAAGATCAGCCTCTGTGTGAACTATTCAATTCTAGTTTAACATTTTTGCTCTATAAGGGCCTCTTCACTCCTTGGTCTTTGTCCCAAGAAATCTCACTTTGAAAACCCAAACTCACCCGATAGCTATGGGAATTGCTATTCATTAGCTCACCTGTATATACATTTCTTTTGAATGAAATACAAGCACTGACTAAAACTGTGAGCCCTTTGATAACCTGCTTTTGGCAGGCTGACAGACTAAAGCATGGCTAAATTCTGCATTAAAATTATTTAAAAGCTTATTCATCTCTCAGCTGCTTAATAAAGATCTTCTGGAGAGCAGCTATTTCAGTGAAGTCACTGTGCAGGTGCCAATGAAAGTGCAACCGAGATTAAATAGTGCTGGGGAGTGAGATGTGGAAATGTGATGGCAGGAATTAGGCAGCTGGCCACCTCTTCAAGTGGCCCCTTGGGGAGGTTGCTCGCATTGAGGGACACAGCCCCAGCAGGAGAAAAAAAAAGGCAAAGGACCCCAATCCCAACCACAAGCCTTGTGACAGATCAGATGCGTGAACAGCCTGCCACTCATCAACTCATCTTTCACAAATAATACATCTAATTAACAGTTCTAATTACAGAAACAAAAACTACAGGTAATCAAGCTGGTAACTGAGGAATTAAGCTGGTAATGTAGGTATCTCATACAAATGTAAAAATTCAGACAGCCTGTTTCACCTGCAATGCAGACAGACATGTCTAGGAAAAAAAAGGACTGAAAATAGGGACTTTGATGAGATACAGGACAAATACATAGACAACAACTCTCAAATATAACCACTCTAGCAAAAGGAGTCCCAGTTTTGGAGGCACTAAACAGCTGCTGCTCTCACTTCTTTTAATTGAAATTGCTCAATATCTCTGAATAGCAAATAACTGCAGGATTTTGAAGGAAGCACGGAAACATTTGCTGCATACAAGTCTTTCTGGGTTAAATAAAACTCTTCTGTGATTGATGAGAGTCTGGGCTTTTCTGGGGCAAATAAAAAAAATGTATTTCTGCTTCCCAGGAAGCAAATCTTGACTTTCTAATATGAAGAGATCTTCCAATTCGCCTTTCTAAGAGGTTCCTGGAGCAGCAAAGCATGGTTATTGCTGTTCTGCCAATGGTCTCAGAGAAAGGTGCCACCTCCTGCACCATGTAGACACCTCATATCTATCACTGCTAGTTCTCCATGCTGCTGCTGGTCCAACCTAAGCCTGTGCCTGTAAGCAGTAGGGCATGAGCAGAGAACTGGGCCCAAATTAACACCATCAAAGAGCTTTTGGCTCCAGCAAAGCTCAAACATTGCTAACATTGTATTCCTGTGCAGTGAATTCTGAAGCCATGTTTGTGAGCTTCATTTTTTCCTCCCCACGAAGAAAAGTGAGCAGGGGAAGAAAAGGAGATAGAAAAAGGCTTCCATCTTGCTCTATTTAATCTCCTGGTTTAGGAGGGGGTGAAGAATCAGGATGCTGAAACGCTCTATAAAGCTCAGACATCTGGAGCGGAAAACTAGTTCCACAACACTGACGCTGTCATAAATGTATTTAAGAAACACTGAAATCACATGGCCTGTTAAAAATCAAAAACAGTGACCCAAGCTAAAGCAACTTTGTTTCTCTAAGCAAACTACCTCAAAAACATTTAGTCAAGCAGCGCCGGGAAGAAGCCAGGAGCAACTGCTATTGTGCTGGGCATAGATCCACCACGGCTCTGCTTCCCCGGCCTTTCGCCTCTGCCCCTCATCAGACAGAGAGCAGCACACATAGCACTCAAAGGGCAGGAGTCCGCAACTCCAGCTGCTTCCTTCTGGTCTTGCTGTCACCACAATGTCATAATATTTCCTGACAGATTAGCAGCAAGCCCCCAAACCCTTTCCTCCATCACTCTTGCTCCCTGAATCCTAGAAATATTTTCACCCTTCTCTCTTTGTATTTCTAAACTCCTGCCTGAACCCTCCCTAAGAGCATTCTGGGTTGTTTTTCTTTCCTGACAATTATTAATCTATCTCCCCTACCCTTCCCTCTTTCCATGCAGTAATTACAATCAGAGGATAGAGATACAGAAGTGGCAGTGCTAAAAACAGATGTCAGCAGGAAACAGGAGGATGGATTTCTACAAGGGAGACAACTGCACCAGGAAAGGGTGGGGGAGGACACATGCAGACAGGACCACACTGTCTGTGAATGCAAACCACTGTTTACGTGAATATGCAGCCATATTCACAGATTCTCACCCCAAGTCCAAAAGACCAACTGAAGGATTCTGCAAGCCACTGCATATCTACCACAGCAAATTCCAACTCAATGTTCAAGACACCCTAGCTAACAGCAGAGAACTACCACCACCAGGATGGTGCACAAATATGGCCAGACCATAGCCCCAAGAGGGACTTCAGACGCTCTGTGGGCTTCTGAACTAACTGGAGCTTATGGAACATTCAATGATGATCAGCCACGTATGTCAAAAATGCCAAATGATAGCACTCAGTAGGATTTTCCATCTGCAGGTTTTAAAGCACTTCAGAATGTAGGATCTATCATGGGGCATAAACTGCCAGTGCTCCTGGACCCCAATCACACACAAAGCCTGAGTAGAGAGTGCAAGCTATCTAACACTTGGTAAAGGTGGTATTTCTGGATTCAAGCCAACTCCAGTATCTGTCCTACTCCTCAGGCCCAGCCTGCCACCAAATACTGGTTTTGCTGCTACTGCCAAACACCAACAGCAATTTTAAAACAGAGGAGAAGAACATGCGTTATCAGCCTGAATGAAACTTCTGACCATAGACAACACATGACTGACCTGTCATGGAACGGGATGCCAGGGCTAAATTGCTTATCCAACACTATCTCTAAATCCAGTTGGTGAAAGGTAGTAGTTTATGATTTGCTCATAGGAGTCTCTTAAAATCCCAAGTCTAGGCCTTGGATACTGGAAGACCACTGCAAAACCACTGTGAGACAGCTATGCAAGAAATGCATCTAAACAGTAAATTAATATAGCAGGGGAGGCCTTACCATCTCATCTTGGGTTGGATCATTATCAAAGATCTTCATAGGAGGAGGAAGAGGTGTGTGAGACTCTTCATCTGGTTCATCTTCTCCCCAACCTTTCTTGCTCTTCTGAAGAAAAGTTAAATATAATTAGGAGCAGTGACAGGTTTCTTTTATCCTTTTAGATATCCAAGCCCTACCACCAGGCTTTGAGTCTGTTACTACTAATTCTGCCTCAATATTGCACTGGGTGAAGAGAACTGCAGGCAATGCTAAGAATCGCAGAAGAGAAGCAACAAAGACATAAGGTTTTGCTGGTTAACCCTGGTGCATTCTAAGAGTTACAGAAATACAATTTACAGGTAACCCAAGCAGCCAAGGCAGTTACAGCTGTCTGTGTGGTGATGGGAAGTATTTTTTTATGTAAATGAGAACAGCTCGATGTACAGTTTTAAATGTGCTCCTCTATTTGTCTTCAGTTGGTATCTTCTCCAGTTTTGGTTTGTAATTCTTTATTCGCTGTATCAGGAAAGAGCCATTCTGGCAAAGAACATGCCTGCAGAGAAACTGTGGCTACAAATACATAGCAGATAAAACAGAAACGTGACTATTTCTCTGAGTGTTTTCTTTCAATAAGGAACTACACTGCCATGGTAGGATAAAGGTGATATGAACCTCAGTGATCATAAAAAGTAATAACAGCTGCTCAAGAGTAACTTCCTTCCTATTCTTAGCAGCTTTCTAATAGGCTATTAAAAAAAATCTAGTCAAATGACAATAATATATGTAGATTTTGAAATGCTGTTCCTGTATATTCCATTGCTCATTGGATAACAATGCTATTTGCAACACAGCTTCAATCCATGCAATTTTACATGATTCGCTGCTCTCTCTAGACACTAAAGGAACTGATTACTCAAGCATGACTCGCACACCACAGAAGAGACTAGCAGAGATATGATCTTTACTTCAACAAACACCAATACACACCTCATCTGCGCTGTCTCCTTGAGGAGTGGTTTCATCTCCAGTCTTTGGTGAGCCGAGGTCAAAGCTCTTCCTACCATCTCGCACCTTCTTCTGTTTCTTGATGTTGCTCTCGGTCTTCCCGCTGTTCAGCCGGCGCACAGGACTAGTCAACCATTTCTTCAGGGTGTTTGTTGACCGTTTGGGGCCAGGAGAACTCTGGATGGAGTTGAGGGATGGCTGAGGTTGTAAATTGGCCACTGAATCAGACTTGCCTCCATTGTCATTGGAAGAGACTGAATATGCGTCTGGAAGAAAACAATGCAGGTGAGAGTTCACACCGGCACCTCCTCTATTTCCTAGTGCACATCAAGCACTTAGCAGTCCTAAGCATGAAAATAAAGCTGCTTTGATGAAAGGTTTTGTGACTTCATTGTGCACCAGAGAGAGAAATACGCCCTGCAACAGGCATTTTTCACAAACACACTCTTCTCATTTCCCACCACACTATCTGTCCTTAGAAAGACCACAGACAGCAAAGTTATCTAGTTTTTGATGAAAGCTTGAATTTCATGCAAAGTGCTGAACTTTTCATCTTCTTCCCACAGATTTCATCATGATTGCCAGGAAGAAAATAAGCACAAAAGGATTATTAAAGGAAACCTGACAGTCACCAACACTTTGTCAAGTTCCAAGTCCCTAAATATTTCTCAGCTGTTGCCAGACCCAATGACATGACTGCTAGTTAGACTAGTTATTAACTTTTTAAGGTCATTTGAAGCACCTTAAAATCACCTCCTTTGCCCCTGAAAGCAATTTGTCAGAAGACTTCACACTTCCCCTAGAACTGAGGAACTGGAATGAACACTTACAAAAGTGACAAATTGTTCAAACTGAAAGAAACTCCAAAGAAGGAGATACACGGGAGGCTTAAAATTTAAAAAGATTTCCATTATATCCAAGCAGGAGGATCTGCTGAACTGTATCCAATGCCAATTACTGATACACATGTTCAGACTAGCACTTTAAAAATGAGTGCAACCTCCCTTACTCCCAGCAAAAGCAACAGACCAAAGATGTGCCGATGTCAAGAAGTCTTTAGTACCAAAACAAACAAGTCACAGTCACAGATTTCTCAGCTGTCCTTTAGGAACAAGCACCCTGCCTTCACCTTTCTGAAACCACGGCAAGGCAACTCCCTCCCTCCTCAGGAGCAATCAGGGACCGAGATGTTGAATCCCACAAGGTTTATTTTATTTTTTTTCAACAGAATTAAGAAATTGTCACCCTCCTGTAAGATACATCTCAGACTGTGCATCAGAAAGCGGTCAGCTGAGGTTTTTAAACATTTTTGGATGGCTATCTCCAAATCTTTTACCTGCCCCAGCAGAAAATAAAACCCTAAGTTATGACACACGAAAACAGCCCGGTGCCTCTAGCCATTCTCAGTTCAGCAATATGTATCGTCAGAGATACTGGCTAGTACACATGTGGAGGGAGAGCCACTCTTCCAGAGAATCATCACATACATTGTTTTAGAAGCCAGTTTCTGCTAACTGCATGCAGAGCTCCTACCCCACTGGGCAGAGCTGCTGCTCAGAGAGCAGAGACTGCAGCCTGCCTTGCGGGCTATGCACTGAGCAGAGATTGCAGCCTGCCTTGTGGGCTATGCACTGAGCAGAGACTGCAGCCTGCCTTGCGGGCTATGCACTGAGCAGAGATTGCAGCCTGCCTTGTGGGCTATGCACTGAGCAGAGATTGCAGCCTGCCTTGCGGGCTATGCACTGAGCAGAGACTGCAGCCTGCCTTGCGGGCTATGCACTGAGCAGAGATTTCAGTCTGCCAGCTTGCAAACTGCAGACCATGAGAGTTGCAATATTTTATAATATTTTATAACCATAGACAGCCTCAGTCAGGAGTGGAACCAATAATTTATTACATACCTGAGGTCAAAAGTCAGATTTTTAGAACATACGGAAATAATCGTAACAAGCTAAAGGAAGTCAAAGTTCATTTCCCAGACAGGAAGAAAATCCAAACCATTTGTCTTCTGATGACATGAGGAGCGAGTGTGAGAGGGTCTGGGCCACGGACGGATCCCAGGTGGAGCTCCTAGGTTTTTCTGACATTCCTCCATAAGGGCATAGTAACAGTCTTATCTCAAAAAAGGCCTGGATTTAGCTAGCTCTTGTTGATGTTATTTCATGCACATGAAGTGGTTTTAAATCAACCAGTGCAAGATAATATTTGTCAGTGGCCAGCTTATCTTCCACTAGATAGGCTTTAGATAGTGTCCCTCACAGGCTCCACGTGATGCTCTAGCAGTTTATTGGCACTCCCTGTGTCAGCAAAATTCAAGTTTTCGTGACAGAGATTTTGATTTTGCAAGTGCCCTCACCCCTCCAACCCCCCAGCAGAATCAAAAGTCCCACAGGTGACCAGGGACACCTGAGGGCTCATTGCCAAGGGGCTCCACCAAGGAGGGTGCCCTCAGGTACCTGTTCTCCCACTGCCACTGCAAGAGGATTAACATGGGGAATTACTGGTGCAAAGGGAATTGGGTTAAAGTCATGGAAGGAGAAATGCTGGAACCGATCACCCTGTGGAGGCTGCTACTGTCAGGGAGGATTTGGGGCAAGCAGCTGTATCATGGACTCACTGTCTTTGCTTGGGACTGGGCTCAGGGGGTGAGGTTGCAGAGAACTGAGGACAAGCTGGTCTTCCCACACCTTGGTTGATTAAAGTACAGAGAGGATTTACTACAGCTTAGAAGTAACACAGTCCAAACCACTACCACCAGTCAGTGGCACCTTGCCAATTTAACTTTTAGTAAGGAAAGGGAGCTGATAGAAGGCTTAATGGAGCCTGGGACAACCTCAGGACTTGTTCCTGAGACACAGAATCCTACCTCAGCCTGGCAGGCTCAAGGCAGAGCCAAACCCAGAAGTTCACGATGTTAAGGGTCAAGAACCTCCCTTTCCACCAGGAAATGCCCCTGGTTTTACAAGCAGGGCCAAGTCTTGGCCTTGCTGCCTCCCTCCCCTTTCCCCAGGCAGCACAGCCTGGGCTGGGGCACAGACAGACACACAGCACCTCACACTGCAGCACTCTGCTCAAGCCTGTGCTGGGGAAGTGATGGTCAGCCATCGTCCCTGTCCTCCCTATAAAGGCAGCAGATGGGCAGAAACAGGCCAAGTTCTGAGCTGGCCCACAGCCCACCTTGCTGGCTTACAGGGATATTGTTCAAAGTTTAACCTAGAGCCAGGAAATCATCATCAGACCAAATATCAGGCCTCCAGAGTCATCAGGCCATGATGAAAGCCAACCTGAACATTTCCAGAGGGAAGCATGTTACCCTATGCAATGATTTCACTTGAATAAGTCTCTGGATTTTGCCACTCAAGGTCATGCCTTTGGTGATGAAAAAGCATATTTACCAAGGCATTACAAAATCTCAGTCATGCCATGCTTTACACAGCCCTGGCAGATATGAAGTCTCCTTCTTTCTCCTTGCCTGCTGAACTGTCCTGGCTGACCACTCTAAGGCGTCTGGGAGACAGCCCAGTCTTCGCTTGGCCCATGCAGCCCAAGAGTGGAAACATGGCTTTATCTTGCCCTTACATTTTAATGTAGTCTCTGCTGGCTAAAGGATGGGCAGGGAGGCATAGAGAACGTCTGTTATAAGTCTCCCAGCTCCTCACCCACCATAACAGCCCCTTAAGGTGGGGTGAGTTTGCTCTATCCAGGACCCTATGCATGTACAAACCACTCCCCTGTCCCACTTCCTACCATTGCCAAACATGCACTATCCAATAAACCCCCCCCTCCCCCCAGTATTCATAACTTTTTCTCCTTTTTAAAGGAACTGCAAATATAAGCACATTTGTGACCAAGACACACTTGCTGTTTGCCAGTCGTGCTGAGAACGATTTCCTTTGCATACAAAGCAGGTCACCCTGACATGGCTGCAGAGGCAGGACCAGAGCTCAAAGACGAGCAGAGCTCATGAAATGACAGACAGAAACTTGCAACACAAAAAATCTGCCAGGAGAGACTTTGGAGACAACCTCCTAAGGCGTACTTGTGTGTGCTCCACTGCTTACACAGCACGTACAGCTACAAACACATTAATCATGACACTTGATATTAGCCTGAGATCCAGACACCAGGTGGATCAAGTGGAAGGTGAGGACATGTTACTGTGTTCTTCTTGCAAAGCACTAGCACATATGTACTTTGCAAACTGTATTGGCTTAGCAGTTCGGAAAGTTCACTCAAGAAAAGCCAGAGAGCACTGTGGAAAAGATGCAGCGGCACACGGCATGGTAACTCAGGCAGCCACCACTGCCCACAGGAACCAGGAAAGCAGTGGCTGCCCTCACACTGCAGTGGGTCTGCAGAAACCTCAGAGCTCAGCAAAGCTGCAGAGAGCAGCTGTCCTGCCACCAATGTCCTAGGACACACATATCTAAAAAAAGGTATCTGGTGAAGCAAAGTGGGTGTAGGGAGGTCAGCAGACTAGTGTGGCTAGATTGACTTCCTGGCCAAACCATTCATTCAGACAGATGAAATGATGGTTTCCATAACACCCCTGAGCAAACCTCCAAGAAACCTCTGGCAATAGGTCTGTGACAGATACTCAGCCAGACTGAAGAGCTTTAACATTCAGAGCTTTTGCACTGCTGGAGGCAAGAAATATTTGTTGTTGTTGCTCAAGTGAACAGACATCTATAAAAACACAGCTCTTTTACTTGAAAAACGGCAGGCTGCAGTTCTGTGCAACCCTGGGTAAAGGGAAAACCAAAAATCTCACCAATCCCTTTTAGAGGCACAGTTATATTCCCATTTGAGTCAGTAGGAATTACTGCTGGAACACAAATAAATTTTATTTTTACCTCCCTGTTCCCCAGAGCACGCACAGAGGGGAGGTCTTTCTGATCAGGCTCATGCAGCAGTGGACTCATCTACAGGACTCAGATCTCTAACGGGGAAAGGCTTCTTACAGAGCAACTCAGAAGAAAATATCAGGCTTCTCTTTTTTGACCCACATTAATCACAGATTGTATTTGACAGGAAGGAAATATGCTTCCATAACCAGAAGTTAATACAAAATAAGGCTATGATGACAAGTGACCACAGCAGGGCACGATCTTGTTTTAGGTGAGGCAAATCTTCTGATTTATGTATGGCTCCATTTCTTATCCCAGAAAAACAGCCTGAGAGAAGAAGATTTTTCCACAGAAGTCAAATATGATGAGCCAGAATGGGAACTCTGTAATCCTATTAGCATGTGCATTTAAATCAACAT